TTCTTCTGGAAGCCTGAGGGCCAAGAAAAATTTGTCTGAGGGACGCATTTGGCCCACGGACCATAGTTTGGACATGCCTGATCTAAGCAATTCCATGAGTCTACTCCACGTCTGCTCACACACATGCTTTTGAGAGTGGTTCAAGAGAATTGTTTTTTAAAATTCATTTGACCAAAATAAGTTACACATGGTGCATCTTAAAAAAACACAGAGGGTGGAGACAGGTGGTTGGGGAAAACACATTTTCAGAGTCCTCGAGCCTTGAGCCCTGGAAGTGTAACTAAAAGGTAAACTGAGGACACAACCTCCATGGAGCTAACGACTCTGCCACCAAACACAGCACATCTAAATTTAGTACTTTCATTTAGACATGAAGTACTTTTGTGTGTGATGAAAAAGTGAGATTTGATTGTAGAATATTGGAGCGCTTATGTAAGAGATGAAGAGGAGCCTGCGGGGGGCGCTCTCTCCAAGAAGATGGATCAGCTCATAAACTCCAGGGACCAACATGCAGTGGGAATAATTCACTTCAAGTATCCATAGATAAAGGCAGCGGGAAAGTCACAGGCACAAACATTCTACTGTGGTTACATGCGCTCGTGAAAGCAGAGCCACATCTCATTTCTGGAGTTACACGATTATTGAAAAGACATGTAAAAAGAGACATCACTGAACAAATCAGGTTATAATCAGATTTTGGTGTACATTTGAACAAGGCCAAAGTTAACATTATTTGTTGTTATTTAAACATACAGTAATCAACATTTTAATGATCAGAAAAAACATTGTGGTGGTACAATATTGAAAATGAAAGTTTCTTCTGTTCTATAGCTGAAAGAATAGGGAGTGTAATGGCTCAGTGTTTGGAGCAGGGCTGTCCAAACTACGGCTCAGGGGCCAAATACGGCTCTCAGAACAGTTATTGTGGCCCTCAGGCTTCTTGCTGAATTGGCTCAAATGACCAAAAGTAATACTTTTGACTGTAAATGTAGGTACATTTTGCAGTGGTAACTTACATTTTGATGTGATACATACATAGCAGAAGCAGTTCAATGCATGTACTGTATTTTTCTGACTATAAGTTGCACTGAATTATAAGTTGCACTTTTTGGGGAAAATTTATTTTATAAAATCAGAGACCAGAAACCAACATTTCATCTTAAAAGGCAAGTTCTAGTAATAACAACAGAAGAGAGAACAACAGACTGTTAACGTCACATATGAACAGTTCTTCAGATAAACTATAACATAAACAACAGAACAGAACAAGTTTAACAAACTCTCCATCTCACTCCAAATCACTAAATCCACTGAATTCTTCATCCTCTGTGTCACTTCTGAGCAACTCTGCAACCTTTGGAGGTAAACGGAGCACCACTTCCTCTTCTGCGTAACTATCATCAGACTCAGCATCAGTTCCAGTTAGAATTATTCTGGCCTTTCTGAATCCCGACAGGATGGTTTCAGTTGTCTTTATGTTTGTTTAAAGTTTAAATTGTCAGTGATACAAAAGTAATGGTGCAATCGGCTGACATGATACAGACAGGACAGAGGCTCTTTCTCTTTCTTCTGTCGACATGCGCAGTAGAGCTAAGTGACACTGGTACAGGAGTGCACAAGCCTAGAGCGCCCTCTTGAGGCTGTCAGTGTGAACATTTTAACATATAAGTCGCAGGTCCACCCAAACCATGAAAAAAAGATGTGAATTACAGTCCAAAAAATACAGTAAGCATGCAGAAAAGTGACAAAAAGGAATAAGGGGTGCCACAGAATCTTACACTGGTGCTGCTTTAAACAATACATAGTTTGTCTTCTTTTTCCAAACAAAGAGATATGTGTTCTTACCAGGAGCACTTAAGATGTCAAGGTTTGTAACACTCTTCTTTTTGGTGTAGCATGGATGTAAATTATTATTTGGTAAACAACTGTATTGTCAATGTACTATAATAGTAATAAAGAAGAAGTAAACTTAAGTCATTGAGTCAATTCAGTCCATATTAAAAAAAAAAAAAAAAAAAAGAATGAATGTAGTCCTGTATTACGCAAAATGGATTCTTGTGAGCTTTTAGCCATTTTACAATGTTCTTACTTCCTCAAAAACCGACCTGGAGTTGTTTTGTTTCATTTACACATTTTTGAGCAACCCTTTATTAGTTTGTCTACATCTCAAAATGCTCTGTTCCACCTTGTGATGTCATGATGCGGATGTCTTCATTTCAGCAGAGATGGGATATTCCAGGACTGAAATGATCCAAATGGTTTTAGTGGGGGTATATTGAGTTTAAAAACACTTCCTGGAGGTGGAAGAGTGTGTTTTCAGTTTGAGAGAAGAACCTAAACATCCTAAAAATGCAGGATTTTTGTGTTAAATGTGTGAAACAAAACACAACTCCAAATATGTTTGTATTGTATGTTTGTAACGACATTATAACAAGTGTAATAAGCACTAAACACTAAATAATGTTCTTTATTCTCACAACTTGTAGCTGTAAAATTTGATATTGTACCCTGCATTGCATGATGAACTAGAATGAACCGTACTCTTGCTGGTTTTGAGTACAAAGCCTGTCCGAGGGCCCCATGTTAGAGGACTAAACAAGAGTCAGACTGTGAGATCATTACCGGGCCCTGAAAACACAAAAACACTTCAGTGCATGTGACAATAACAAGTTTTGTGTGGTTTTATTACGTAACCATGCAGAAAAGTGACTGTAAATGGGCCCTTATCTGTGGCCCTTGGACAATTGCAAAAGTGGTGCCACAGAATCTTACACTGGTGCTGCTTTAAAGGACCTATATTATTACGATCTATGTTATAATGTTGTTTCCTCATCACAAACAGACCTCGAGTTGTATTTTGTTTCATTCCACATGTTTAACACACAAACCCTGCAGATTTAGGATGAGTTTTTCTCTCAAACAGAAAACACTGTTTCACCTTGTGATGTCATGTGGTAATACAGGACGTCCTCCACTGTGTTTTGAAACTCCATACACCTTCACTAGAATCATTTTGATAATTTCAAACCTGGAATTGACGATCTCTACTGAAATAAAGGTAAAAGGAGACGTTCACTTGAAAACCTTCGCTTCATGACATCATGAAGTGGAACACTGCATTTTGGACTTTGAGTAATCCTGGGTTATTAATCTGTCTACATCTCCAAACATGTATGAATGAAACTAAACACAACTCCAGGTCTGTTTTTGAGGCAGTAACAACATTATAACATGGCTTAATTTAAGATGTGTAACATAGGACCTTTAAATATGATGAATGCTTTATGATGAATGCAATAATGAATGCTTTTCCTGCTATAGGTCATAGTTTTTCATTAGAATAACGATCACCAAAAGTAATGAAAATCTGCTACTATTTGATATTAAAACTAGTATAGAATCTTGATCATTTAAGCAACTAACATAAGTAGTTGTATATACTATTATACTAGTATATAAATGTTATAATTTTGCCCCACTCCCCCTTGTACATTTATATGCAAGTAAACTTTTTAGAATAGAAATGCAATTGGCTTATGTAAAACTTTAAAACAATCACTTCTTGTGTGGACAGCTGCAGTAAAAGAGTGAGTTAATACTATGTTAAAAAATTAACAATGAGTGTGACAAGTTTTACACAAAAGAAGGTTCAAGAGCTCCCCCTGCAGGTAACAATGGAGTAGTACCTCTGAGTCCAAGAGAGGCACTAACTTGTAAACTGTATTGAATATTATTTACTTTAGTATAAATATATATATTTTTTGTTTCACTTAGTCAACAGATTAGATAGAATATTCCAATTACAATATCCCATGTAAATCTGAGGATGTGTGTCTACTTAATTCAATAGTACAGTACATCTTTAGGAGAAGATTGACAATTTTGTTATTTCTACATGAAAGCATATGCTGAGAGAGCAAGCTGACCACAAAAAAGCAGAAAAAATGTAGTGTCTGAACTTAAAGTAAAGCTAAACACTAGGTCAACTTTTTTTGGCTACTAAACTGTGTATATGGTGTTGTAATAGTATTACTGTTCCTGATCCTTTTTTGGCAATTTTTGTGCAAAGTAGGTACATTTGCTGTAGGGGTGGCGTTTGAGGTGTGGACATCATAGACCAGGCATGTCCAAACCATGGCCCAGGGGCCAAATGCGGCCCTCAGGCTTCCAAGTGAATTGGCCCGTATTACATTAAGCAGTACTTTCTAACCACATTTTTGAAAATCTATCAAGGTAAAGCAAAAAGTACCAACGATCAACGAAGATCTAAGCATGTGGCTCATTGCATCCACTTATAAATGCACGGATATGAATTATTGTCTGTACTGATCTCCACTCTATGACCCTCCACTGGCCCTCCACTTAAACTGTGTTTTGATTTGCAACCGTTCATGACAAAAGTTTGGAGACACCTGCCTTAGACCAATCACTCAGTTCCTTGTTGTCAAGACAAACTTGCAGCTTCTAATGTGAAGACTGTAATTTCATCACTTTACTTTTTTATTTAACCAATTTTAGCCTTTCGTTTTTCTCGTCTTGGCTTGGAAGTGTGCTCAAGCTGACTGGACAGTCACAGCGCAGTATGGAGTCTTTAAACACCAGCCAGCTGCAGGAACTAAGCTCCAGCATTATGAGGGACCAGAACCATCCAACCCTGAACTGTCTGTTTCAGAAGCTGCCATCGGGTCCAAGTAAGCGCCAGACAATTTGCCTGAAGCCGTTGTGCTTTTGAGCAAAGTCACTTTGCGCAACTAATACTTTTATCCATTTTGTCAGTTGATCGTGTTCATGTGCAGATGAATGTTTGATGCTTCTGCAAACCAAATTTATCTAAGAAGACAAATAAAAACACCTCACCTTATACTTCCAGACCCCACCCCTCCTCCTTCACTCTGTTCTTTAGTCTTCCAACTCTATTTGAAATGTGGCTATGGGAGGAGTTTAGGTGTGTCCCACTTTAGCAACCAAGTGACTCAAAAATAAAGCAAAGCACACAGGGATAGGCTACAAATGTCATTTTATTATTACTTTAAATAATGTCTAAATAAAGGGACTAAAGACATGCTTGTGTGTCCATTATCAAAAATATGGTGTTGGTGGCTGCGGTAGAAATACATCCAGGCTTTTATTTTGAAGGAAGCCTCAGCTACAAGGTGAGACCATTGTAGACTTTTATTTTGAAAAACGCACCCACTCTTTTAAACCAGAGCTATACAGTGCTTTTGTCAGAAGGGGGCAGTGCATTCATTCGGTATATATATTTTCAACCAATTTCACATTCAGACGCTAAGAATATGTGTTGTGACAATTATAAAAAATAAAACCTGGATGTATTTCTGAACACGCCACGAGTTTTACTACAGAAATTAAAAAGAAGACAGGAACGCGCAAAGGGGGAACGGCTATTTTTGAGAACTCCCTTTGGTAAAAACTGTTATAAATGAGGTTTTAAATATACACTAACTTTATCTGTCCACAGTTAAGCTCGGAATACTAGCACAACAATGTCATTTTTAAAAAGTCTGGACCATATGTACAGTCTATTTACACAAGTGTAGGGCACGCAATGCACTGCGATTGTGAGAAATTTGTAAAATGTTTTTCGATGTAAAAGCTGGTGTGTGGTTTGTGGAGGTTTTTCTTTTTATATCTTCTTCCTTCTTGTTCAACTTTATTTAAAAAAAGTTGCGCTCCAGGGCGGACAGGATCATAATAATAAGAATAATAATAGCACTATATATATATTATTTACACAACACTTTAAACTGGATACGTGTCAAAAAGCAATTGACATTCATTGTACAATTTTACATCGAGACAGTGCTGTGAAAGGCTTGCGCTTTTGGGTTTTTGATCGTTTTTGGAGAATACTGTAACCCGGGTTTTCCCATATTGATTTGGCCTTAACGCAGGAATGTCGCTATGGAAACCGTTCTAAACCTTTTGAGCTCCAGCCAAAAGTTGAGCTGCCTCGTAATTCCGCAATAAAACATCTCGCTCTTTCTAAATAAGTGCACTTGTCTTTCTTTTTGCGTATACGTAACACGACACATACAACTAGAAACCCGCTGGATTTCGACTTGGATGGCTTTAAAATACAAAAAGCACCATTCTTTCTCTCTTCTCACGATTAAAGAACACATGTTATGCAAAACTGACCGTGTTATACAGTGATCCCCTCATCAAAAACATTCCTCGAGTAGTTTGTTTTGCTTCGTTCATGCTTGTTTCGTTAATTCGTCTTCTCTGAGCACGAGTTTGCATTTTGCCAGTTTTGTTGCGTCATAGATAAAACTCTAGACTTCTATGGAGTTTTTAAGCTCATAAACCGTCACAATTGTGCTCACAATTAACGCATGGGTCAATTAGAAAGGAATTCCTAGGGTATAAGAATTTCAATAGTTTCCTTTTTAATTCCATTCTCATTCCCGTTGCTGACAGCAGAGGGCGCTCCAATGTCTAAATACCTCACTGGAACTGAGCTGTGGTTTATAAAGTGTGTTTTAAGAATGTAGACATTACTTTAAGTTAAGAAAATGTTAGAAATACTTATCCCAATGTGACCAAAAGCATTAAAGCCTCAAAATATGTAATATGTGTTCTTTAACGCATACAGTTTCGCTTGTAGAGACGTCGCCCCAAGTGCTTGGCTGGTTCGGCTCAAGTTTAGGTTTAAGTTTTGGGGCCATTCCTAAGTTTTGGCACCGTGAAGGCCCTGCGAATAAGATGGGCCCAGCTAAAAACGCTGGTAAAAATCCTATCATCCTGCCGCCCTTAAGTGCAACAAAACACAGTAGTTACAGCTTATACCTACCATGTCTCTGCGTATAAAAACACCAGTAATACACCAGTATACAGATTCAGAGTCCGTTCATCTCCAGGGGGCGCTATGGGGTCTTGCTGGGGGAGTTGTGGTATTTGACTCTGTACTTGTTGATGTTTCTAAAGTGTAGGACTTCGGGTTGTCTGTTGGTCGTGCAGGGGAGGAGACCGTCGCGTCCTTCTCCCATCAGCCACTTGTTCGTCTCGGCGTTCATGTCCCTGGATACGTGCTCCTTCGCCCAAGAGTCCACCCAAGACTGGAAGCGCGTGTGCAGTCGCGTGCTCACCCTCTCGTGGGACTGGGAAGAAAATAAGAAGGTACATTAGGACTGTGAGGTTAAAAAGGCAATTTAAATGGACGAAGTTGGCAAATCGCAAAGGCTGCTGCATTTTAACCCACAAACAAAGTATTCTGTCTTCTGCACAAAAACGGCCCACTCTGTAGGGGTTTAGATCTGTAGAAACATGTTCTGAAATAAGATTCTTATGTTATTAATGTGTTTCAGTTCGTATTTCAGTATTTCTCATCAATTCATGTGTTTAAAATGTGAACTCTGAGCAGAATCCCATTATTAAAAGTATTAATAAAACTAAATTCTATATGCAAGGCTTTTCAGAAAAATAGCAATTCGATATTTTTCACAAATCCTACAATAAATAAATGTAGCCAAAATATTTAATTCCATGTTACGCCAAATCAGATTCATTAAAGCATGATTTTTCATGACCTAAAGTGAATTTTCCTTGACTTTACGGCACCTATACATGTAGAATTGATCAGACTTTTAGGGCTAAATATGAAATGTTAACCTTTTCCACTCACCTTATGGTTTGGTATTATAGTTTTTTAACATTCAAAATACTGTCAGTGCATTTATTGTCATCTCTTTTAAAACAAAAGGCAGACGTTCAGAAATAATCATAATAGCTTAACTTAACAGAACACTGTAGTTACGTGAGAGAGATACTAAAATCCCATGACTTTTCCAGGCCTGGTAAATTACATTTTCAATTTCCGTGACTTTTCCACAATATCCATGACCGTGGGAACCCTGTTAAAGTGAACACAAAACTAAAAGTGATTTCTTTCTGTCTCTCTCACTGCTTTGGGTATTTTTAAGTTGACTCAAAATTGACTTTTAGCTTCAAGCCGTGGTATAATGTTGTTCCCTACTCAAAAACAGACCTGGAGTTGAGTTTTGTTTCATTCACATGTTTGAATAATCCTTTATTATTAATCTGTCTACATCTACAAAGCCCAAAATTCTCTATTCCACATTAACTTGAAAACTACCGCTTCGTAACAACAGCTCCTTTTACCTTTAATTCAGTAGAGATGGGGAATTCCAAGGGTGAAATTATCCAAATGATTAAAGTGAAGGTGTATGGAATTTAAAAACAGAGGAGCACTTCCTGTATTACCACATGACTTCACAAGGTGGAACAGAGCATTTTCAACATGTGTTAAATGCATGTTAAACATGAGTGAATGAAACAAAACAACTCCAGGTCTGTTTGTGAAGAGGAAACTACATCACAGTAGAAGTGTGTAATACCTGGTGCGCTCGGAGCAGTGCTGTGCGCCGGTACATGTAGTCCTCAGACTTAAACACATAAACCATTTTGTACGAGTTGAGTTTGAACATGCACTCCATCTTCTCCTTCTCCAGAGACTTCTTCCCTCCTTCGCTCGCCTCTTTGTCCAGCTGTTCGCGCCCTTTCTGGTACTTCCTGATCCGCCGCAGGTTTCTATGACAGCAACCAAAACAATTATTAGAAATTAAGCATATGAAAGCGTGTACCATATATTTTGGGTACTTAAAAGGTCCTCCAGCTGTTCTGTGATTGCTTATGGCGATCAAAAGTAAACAAATGCACTTGTAGAGTAGTTTGAGTGTTTAAGTGTATTCCAGACTCTGTTCCATTACTTTTTTATTTCATTTAAAGCTCTGCAACTACCACATTCTAATCAATATGTAAATAAAACATGCCTTAAATGAGGAACTGACCTGGGCAAAAACACTGGTTTCTGTGCGAGATGTTCTCTCAGCTCTGGAGTCGTGGAGTCTGGGTTTAAATACCGACCAACGTAATCAGACCAACGCTATTAAAAATAAAAAATAAAAAAAAAATAAAATAAAATCAGATCAATGTTTTTTTTTTAAATATATATGGGAACACTTTATAATAACAACAACTTAATTCACCTTAATAATGCATGAACTAAGGCTTAATTCATAATGAGCATGTTAACAATTATTCATGTTTAGAAAGTACTTCATTAAAAGACTAACCCTAAACTCCTAACCCTTTCATTAAGTAGTTACTAAGATTTAACTATTAACTATTTGTGCATTATTATTATATTAAGGATTATTATTATAAATTAAGTCTTCCCTCTGATACTATTAAACATTTAGTTAACATATTAAAAAATAATCTGCAACACTTTGCAATCATATTAACCATGAGTAGCGGACAATTAAAATACTTGTAATCATATTTTAATAATCGTAAGTGTTTACTGCTCTATACAGACACACAACTCATAAAATCTTATCTTATAATGGAGAAAGTGGTATTATTAAATAAAAATTTCAGGTTTTCATCTGTAATACACTTTTATCAGTACTATACAATAGAAATAATCATTTGACTAGCCAAAAACATGTAAAAATACCTGTTGACTTGTTGACTAATTTTAGCTCTACTGCAGTACTGCACATAAAGATCTGATTTTGTTACCTCTGCTTCCATGGGCTCATCAGACGTCTCCTCCTCCGTGTCCAAAAGTTCCACTGTGAGCTGCACCTGACCTCTGCTCCTCAAGAACATCACCTGAAAGAAAGACGACATGTTTAAATGTAAATATATAAATAATATTTTATAAGGAAAATATTCTGTCACTATTTTATTACTTTAAATGTAATTGCAGATGGGTGTTTTTTTTACCCAAAACCAGACAAAAACTCTAAAAAAAGGTTTATAATGATACTTTTCAAGTGGGGGCACTGCTTGCTTCCATGGAGACATTTTTAATATGGCGTTACACTTAACCATCTTGCAAAAAGTCTCTGTCATAGGTCTCTCCTTTCTACAGATCTGACCTGTAACTTGGCCCGTAACACGTGTGCCACCTGCTTATTTACTATACTATGGGAAATTCCAGGAAACACAGTAACATCTCCATGGCAACAAGGCAGTAGACCCTCCCTTAAAATAGTTGCATCTTTAAAGTTGGCTCTGATTTTCACCATGGAGTCGACTTTTACAATTCCAAGCCGTTTTCAACTGTAAACGAAAAGCATTCAATCTATGTACAAATAATGACAGATCTGCCTGAAAGGTTCAATTAAAATGAACTTTTAGTATCATTTAGTACAGTATAGTTTAGAATCATAGTCTAGTCATTTTAGTATCGTGACAACACAACTAAAGATTAACATTTCTAAATTTCTAAGGAATTCACTCAATACTCGACACCGATACCAAAATTAAGATAACTGCTGCTTTATTGTAATAGAATGTAATTTTCATGTACAAAATAATAGTATAATAAGTCTTCAAATAAAGCTGATCAGGAAAGCTCAAATTGTGTTCTGTTAACGTGATTTTTGCAGTATTGAGTACCATCTTAAATTAGCATCTACTTTCGATAACGGTTTTAGTATCGATTAGTATCTGATTTCCGATACTTTTGACGATCCTAACCTTTAGACCAGGGGTGCTCACACTTTTTCAGCATGCGAGCTACTTACAAAATGACCAAGTCAAAATGATCTACCTAATACAAAGCCAAGCAAACTGCACTGAAACACTTTGTGCCCCTTTTTTGGACCCTCCCCCACAGTTTGAGAACCCCTTCTTTAAGAGAACTTCCTCTGGCACTTTACACAAAACTGTGAAAAAAGTGAAGGAAGATTTTTAAACCTGTTTTTTAAAGTTCCAAACTGGAGTTGCATTCTTTTCTGGTTTTGCAGTGATATTTACCAGCCTCTGCACGTTTACCAAACCAAACGCACATCGTGACAAACACAGATGCATTTGTGCACTTTTGTTAGACAAACTTCAGCCAAATGTGGCAGTAGGTCTGTTCTGTAGATCTGCTCTATGCTGTAGACCTGCTTTGTGCCAACACTAACACAAATTTAGACTCGTTTTTGCTTCACGTTTGGTCTTGCTCTTCTAATCAGCGCACACTGTGGGAGGGGCTTGTGTTCGCTGTACGCAGGAAGGAGCGAGAGCGTGAAAAGGCGAGGGGCGGCGTGCTGACGTGAGGCAGATGGACAGGTAGGATGTTTAGGAAGTTGAACCTGCCCTGTGATGCACGCTGGTACACGAGGGCACACACTGTCGCAGACGAGCCGTGCATAGGGAGCGTGTGTATTTGTGATGTGCCGTAGAGTCTCCGCGGGTTTCAAATGAGCGCACAGGCTGCACTGAGACGCCCCACACGCTCCTGCACCCCGCTACAAGTTTATTGCCAACAGCAGCGGCCGTAATGAAATATAATCGCACTTGTTGAGTGTCAGACCTTGAGTGAGAGACAAGACCGAGTCCAAACGCGAGTCTGAGACGAGTACTAAGACACGGCAATCTACCCACACGACCTTGGCGAATGACTGGTAGATCGAGATTGACGTATTGGGCACCCCTGCTTTAGACCAATCCTTTCAGATTAGAGCAATAAAAGTCCTGTTGACGTGGGTTACCTTGAAGCAGTTTTCGTCGGACATGATCTGCTCTGCTTTCCTCTGGTACAGGGACTCAGCAGCGCTCCTGGTTGTCTGCGTGGACAGGCCTCCTCCGGTCGCTGAATTTGAGCTCTCCGATAAATACAAGTCTGTCACCTGAACGCAGATCTCATCACTCACTATGTGCTGCAGCTGTAACGACAAGGAAAGGAAAGAGTTAGTACAAATTAGGTATCAGTCTTACAAACATGAAAAACAGAACTTGTTCATTTTAAATAGACTGCAACGATCAAAACTTATTCCTCCCTCTTTTTTTTTTTTAAAGCATTCCTATCATCACAGTTATTCAATCACAGAAGAACTCCTATTATTTTGGATTCTGTAAATCAAGACACAGAAAACCTCAGCAACTCCAGATCTTGAGCACAACAAGACCTACAAAACATCATAAGTGAATAATAATTAATTGTCTGGAAGTAACTTCTCATATATAATTTGAAGTTGATGCAAATTATGCATAATATCTGGCATTTTCAAAGGATAGATACAAACTGCTCCTTCAAATATGATTCTTTTTTTTTCTGAAATGTTCAAATAAATTAATTTTGTCAATATAAAGATTTTGTCGCTTGTAGCCTTATTCACAGTGGGAAGAGTAACCACAATATATTACTCACATAGGCGTAAATGCATGGTATCTGAAAACTACTTTTATTAAGAAAGTTACACAGTCAAAGCCACTATAGTAAAGCACCCAGACACAGGGAGAACATGCAAACTCCACACAGCAGGGCACAGTGAGCCGTACCTGTCGGACAATGCTCTGTATGAGTTTGTCCATGGTGAAGGCCGTGTAGGCATGGATGGTGAACATTTCCCTCAGAGAGTCCTCGTACTGAGACGCATCCATGTTTCCATCCAGAAGGTTCCTCACCATCTCCAGGAACGCTGAGTAGTAATCCTCGACCTCAATGTCCACTACACAAGGAAAACACAAGAATAAGAATAGTACAAAGTAGAGAGGATGTTTGTGGCAGAGCTGGAAGATATACAGTTGACATAATTTATAATATTGCAATTGTTGTTTTGGAACTATGAAACATTAAAACGTTGAGTATAAAAAAAAAAATATATATATATATATATATATATGTTTAAAAAAAAAAAAAAACTGTAGAATCTTCCAAACAACACACAGTACAGCTTTAGCGCTTCGTGTGCCTTTTTTTATGTACCGTATTTTCTGGATTATACGTCGCTCCGGAGTACAAGTCGAACCAGCCAAATAATGCATAATGAAGAAGAAAAAAATGCACCGGATGTCGAACTGAACTATAAATCACATTTTTTGGGGAAATTTTGTTTATAAAATCAGAGACCAAGAACAGACATTTCAAAACGTCAAACTGTTGACCTTGGCTTGCAGTTTTTGGGACATGGTTGTCCGTGCTCTGATAGAGGCGATTGCGTTGCATGAAGCGGCAACACCAAGAAGGTCGTCCCGCAAAGTAATTTATATTCTTCGCCTTGGCAACTACCTGGGCGTGGAAATGTAACAGTACCGTTGACACGCCTCTCCCGACAGCACGTTGTTCAAGCACCTATTTGTGAACTTGTTCCTCTAGCTGTGGCAATCTAGCTTTTAGCCCACGATTAGCTTTTATTGTTTTCTTAATCGCTTTTCGCCAGTCCCTCATAAGTTTCTTGCTCACTCCAAACTTTCTTTCTGCTGCTTGATTACCGTTTTCAGCTACATATTTTCACTACTTGCATCTTGTAATCTGCAAAATATGATTTTCTTTTTGGGGGCATTTGTGCTCAGCCTTTCTCAGTTCTCTTTATAAGTTCATGTTTAAATTTAAAATTTTCAGTGGCTCAGGAGTAATAGGAGTAGCAGATACTGGCACACTTGAGTATAAGTCGCTGGAGGACCACCCAAATCATGAAAAACTGTGACTTATAGTCCAAAAAAAACCAAAAAACTGTATGTATTTTATGCCTGATGCCCTTACTGAACCAGCCAAGTGAGTCCTTGTACCTGAAGTGGTTTTACATGTCATGTTTGAGTAATCTTACAATTTCTCTCAGTCTCAAATCTAGCAAACTTATAAGATGTCAATAAGTTGTTTTCTGCAAATATAGCATTCTCAGTACAATAAAAGGTAACATAGTGATCTAAATATGTTATGTGTCAACAATCAATGTCCCTTAGAAATGTAATACCCCCTCTTTAATAAATTACTTTTTAAAAATCTAATCCATGGCCCAGTAGTATCATTTATTTATATTTGTTTATATTTGTATTTGTGTGCTTTTGTGATGAAACTTTTACATTTATTTTTCCTAATTATTTATTTTATTTTATCTAGCTATGCACAATACACCACTGGTATTGAACATCAGTTCCATAATATCCTGGTTGAGCTAATATCCTAGTTGAGCCTTTAATTGGATGTAAAGACTATTTACAGGCTGATTTTGGCCTAGAACGTCTCATAAGGTTTGAACTTTAATTCACACAAAGCTGTTCAGTTATTTGAAGGATAAATAACAGTTACATAACACAACTGGATCACTTGTGCAATAAGTATTAGTATGTTTTAAGGAAATAAGTGCCATTTTAAGTCCCTGTTCTGGTATCAGTTAATGTTGGGTTTCAACAGACTAGTGTTGTAGTCAAGACCACACTAGTTGAGACCAAGACCTGTCTGAGATCACAGGGTCCTGAGACCAAGACAAGACCAAGACTTTTAAAGGTCGAGACCGAGACAAGACCAAGACCACGACCACAACCGCTCGAGACCAAATCAAGACCATCTTTGTCATTTTCTACATTTATTTGTATTTTTCAGTTATTTTGGCACATTTGTATAACAATACTTTTTTTTATAAATCTATCTTCATTTTATCTGATTAATGTTAATTTAGGATTAAAATAAACAAAGCACGTGTACTGCACTTAAACACTGCGCCCCTTTTTTGGACCCTCACCCATAGTTTGAGCCCCTTCTTTAAGAGAACTTCCACTGGCACTTTACACAAAACTGCTTCTTTGCGGGGGTCGCCTATTTATCAGGCTCTGTCCCAAACCACATGCCCAATGTTACAAATACAAATGGATTTGTGTACTTTTATGTGGACACTGTAATAAATTTGGATTCATTTTTTCCTTGTGTTTTGCCTCTTTTACTCAGAGCGCACTGAGGATGGAGCCTATGAGCAATATATGCGGGGAGGAGAGGGAGCGCGAAAAGGCAAGGAACTTGTGCTGGCGTGAGGCATGTGGACAGGTAGGACATTTTAAAAAGATAACAGCCTTGTAATGAGAGCACACACTTCCGGACAAGCAGCGTGCTGGGGCCGTGTGTAGTGATATGTGCCGTGCAGTGCCCGCTGACTCCAGATGAGCACACAGGCTACAGTGCTAAGCCCTGCGCACTCCCTCACACTAGTACAACTTTTTTGCCAACTGTAGCGACCATAATGAAATGTGATCGCACCTATTGAGTGTCAGACCTTGAGTCCCTGACGAGGCCAAGTCCAAGACCCTTCGAGATAAAGGCCGAGTCCAAGACAAGACTGAGTCCAAATGCGCTCGAGTCCGAGACGAGACCAAGACCATAAAAAAACAGTGTTGAGTACTACGACAATGCCTGAGACTGAATGAGACTTAAAGACGATGTATCAATATCAGTGTCAGAAATGAAAAAGCTGGTAGGACCGGGTATCAATAAGAAGTTGCCGATACGATACATACCTCGATACATAAACCACGATACAATACGTTTTTCGTTACACTGCACTTACGATTCAGTACGATTCGATACGAAATAGTATTTCAAATCGATCTGACACAGTTCAGTGAAAAACAAAGGCTAAATCATGGCTCATGAAGTCCACAAAGTTTGGGCAAAGTTAATATGAAAAACACCCATTTTGCCCATCAAAACTGTGAAAATTGTAGCTCTTACACAAAATAATTTAGTAAAATATACCTAAAAATACCCTTGGCGATATATCGATACAGCGGCCCATGATATCGATACTGTATCATAACATTAAACGATAGGCTACATCAATATTTCAATATTTTTGCACACCCCTAAAAGCTGGATCCCTAATTTAACACATCTAATTCTCCCTTTCCAATCCCTGCATCCTGGTTCTCCATATATTCCTATCTGAATATTGTTTATACTCACTGGGTTCCTTCAGTCTGAGCTGGATCGCTGGATTGTCGTTCTTCTCCTTCTTCAGTCCCAGGACCTCTCTCTCCCAATCCTTCTCTCTCACCTCCTCCTCGATCTGCCTCTCCGCCTGGCTGTACAACTTCAGGAGCCTCGAACACAACGTCTGGTGTAACCGCAAGAATGTACCAGTTATTGTTGACGTAGAACAGATTGTAGCCGTCGTCGCACGATTTCAGCTTCTGTGCAGCGGTGTTGTTGAATAGCAGCTTGGATTTCGACGGGCTACCGCCTCCCGAGACGCCGTTTTGTTTTTTGGAGCCTTCTTCCAGATCCATGTCTTCCTCCTCCTCTTCCTCCTCGACGTCGGAGAGCTCCCCCCGCTGGGCGAAGAGCATGTCGGGGATGAAGTGGTAGATGACCTGTTTGATTTTGTACTTGTCCTCCTTGTTGATGCTGGTTTGCCGTTTGACGTGGTGGATGATTAACGAAGCGGCGTCTTCCAAAATTTGGTGGTCTTCGTAGGACAGTGTCAGGTGAGGGCCAGAGGGGGGCGATGCATTCTCCTCTGACGCCTGTTCTTGCCGCTGAAAAAATTAAGAACAAATGTATTTATAATCGCTGTTTAAATGCAAAATCATTTACAAATAGGGATGAACAACTTGGGAAACAATATTGCAAATGTTTGCCTTGTTTTAAAAATGGCTGACCCTGCTCACAGTGAGAATGCTGGTATTTTTTGAGCAATACTGTTCATGAAAAAATGAAACATAGAAAATGTTAATGCCATAACATGGAACATTCCACGGAGACAAGCACGTGATGTACCCAATATGAGAGAAGTTACATAACATCTATTTGTATGGTATTTGTTATTTGTGTGAAGAATCCCTCAGTCGTCCAGGTAGAATCATGGCGAGGAGAAAATTCAGTTTGTCGACTGGACAAAAGTTAGTTTGGTTGAAGATGTTTCGCAGCTCATCCAGGCTGCTTCTTCAGTTCTGGTCAGAATGCTGGTGGACACTTCCTTATACCTGTCTGCAAGGAGGAGCTAAACAACTAATCTGAAACTAACACACCTCCTTGTTTACAGTTTCTGTTAGTTAGTTAGGCGTAGAGTTGAGTAGGCCTGGAGTTGTTTACAATCTCCTCCATCCTCAAACCTAATTCAAACCAAACAAGAGAAAAATAGGTGTAGCCAGGTCAGGTCCAGAGGTGAGTGAGCACCTATTATAGCCCCGAATTGTTATGCTAATTAGACCCCACACCCAGTACAGGTCAACAGGCCTAACTAACTAACAGAAACTCTAAACAAGCAGGTGTATTAGTTTCAGAGTAGTTACTTAGCTCCTCCCTGCAGACAGATATAAGGAAGTGTCCACCAGCGTCTGACCAGAACTGAAGAAGCAGCTTGGATGAGCTGTGAAACGTTTTCAACCAAACTAACTTCTGGCCAGTCGACAAACTGAATTTTCTCCTCGCCATATTTGTTATTTGCTCAAATAAATAGCTGTATTTTTGTATTCTAATTACCGTATTTTTCGGATTATAAGTCGCTCCAGTTTATAAGTCGCACCAGCCAAAAAATGCGTAATTTAGAAGAAAAAACACATAGGTCGCACCAGACTATAAGTTACACTTACTGGGGGAAATTTATTTTATAAAACCAGAGACCAGAAACTGACATTTCACCTTGAAAGGCAAGTCATAGTAATAACAATACAATAGAAAACGTAACAACACCCTCACAGTTGCTGTGAATCTGTGGTCTCTGTCCCCACCTTTCACCAGTCCCTCGATTACTGTTTTCGGCTGCATACTTCGCTACTTGCAGCTTGTAATCTGCAAAATATGATTTTCTTTTTGAGGGCATTTGTGTCTTCATAAATTTGTTTAAAATGTACATTTTCAGTGGTATAGAAGTAATGGTGCGATCGACTGACATGATACAGACAGGACAGAGTCTCTTTCTACAGGAAACATGCACAGTAGAGCCAAGTGACAGTGGTACAGGAATAATAGTAGTTGCAGATATTGACATACAAGACTAGAGCCTCTCGCAGTGGTCAGTGTGAAAATTTTAAGTCTCACTGGAGTAAAAGTCGCAGGAAACACCCAAACCATGAAAAAGGTGCGATTTATAGTCTGAAAAATATGGTAGTTTGTCATGTATGGAATAACTATAATGTTTAATTGAGATAATCAACATTTTAGTCATTGTTCCATATTAAAAAGGCCTATACAAGATTTGTCTTGTCCCAATCCAGATATATTGTATAAGCAGCTCTTGACATATAAAAGAAAAAAAAAAAAAGAGTCTGTCGTGCATCAAATAATTTATATAGTATCAGGAAGTGTGTGTTAGCATGCTAGTTGTTGTTAGCATTAGAGTGATGCCATAAACTTCACTCTGTTCTCTGAGAGTTGAGAAAAGTGTTTATAAACTCATCATGGTGAATAATTATATAATATTCAGGATGCATAAGGTAAGTCAGGAATATCTTTGGACCACTGCAAATTGTTTAAAATGAACTAGCTGTGTTTTTTTCATGTTTTTAAGGCAGTAAAAATCAGGTAAAGCGCATTTAAGACCCACCTCGTCGTAGATGCTCTCGATCTCGTTGAGCAGAGACTTGGAGCGCAGCACTTTGGTGTCGTTCTGTTTAAAGTTGATTCCTTGGTGGTCCAGAGATTTGAGGTAATACTTTTCATTCTGCTCCCTCCAGATCTTGTTAAAACCTCTTTGTGCTTCCCGCCACTCCTCCTCCTTCATCTTTAACCTGAGAGAAAGCCAAAGAGAACAAAATGATTTACAATGAAAATAGTTCAAACTCAATGCATGTTTAGACGGGTGCAGTGTATTACTATCAGATTTCAATTTCAATTTGAATAGGTTCAGTTTCATATGTCTGCATTTAAAGGTCCCATGTTATGCAAAATTTACAAATGCAAATTTAAGCTTTAAGCCATGTTATAATGTTACCTCATCAAAAACATACCTGGAACTGAGTTTTGTTTCATTCAACCATGTTCGAGTAATCCTGATTAATTAGTCTGTCAACATCTCTAAAGCTCAAAGTTCTTTGTTCCACCTTGTGATGTCATGAAGTGTGTGTGAAGTGTGTGAAGTGTGAATGAAACAAAACAGTGTGGGTATGTTTTTGATGAGGAAACATTATAATAAAATATTATAACACATTATAATATTTCTAATATCAAAATAGCATAATACTGGGCCCGTTAAGGTAATAGGAAGAGAAGTTTAGACCACGATGATTTTTTTTTACCATACTGTGGAACATTCCAGGCAAAGCTTTAATATTAAGAATAGGTGACTGACAATCCACCAGAGGGAAGTTACACAGTGCATGTTTAATATTAATATAGTTTGAATGGCAAAAGTTCTTAAAAATGGCACTTCTATGCAGCAAGCTGAAACTCCTGCCTGTCGCCAATTTACCGAACAATAGAAAACACTATAAAAAAAATTCAGATGTCAAAGTATAAACCACATTAACACAATACATTGTCTTCTGAGATTACTAATAAATATGTGAATCAAAAATACATATTATGCCTCCTATTGTACAGTTATTATGTTTGGACACCACTGCATTGCTAAAAACCTCAATTATAGGGGTGCCTTGACTTTTTTACTTCGTGAGCGAAAAATTAAAGCATATTAGATGGCCAAAACTATAATGTTTTTCCATGCAAAATGTGTGTCTGCAATGAAAACTATAATTAAATTGGATTTTTCTAGTCACAGACTGCTATGGCCATCTGTCATTTTCCTAACGTGTCTTTTTCAGTGGTCACTGTTACATACACACTCAAAATCAGTGTATTTCAGATTTGAGTTATAAAGACTTTTACATTTCTATACAATTGTGGAGGTTACATGTCATTTAAATAATCTTAAAAAGGTCCAGAAATTAGATTATAATCAGATTTAGGTGTGCATGTGAACAAAGCACAGAGAAAAATTCAATCAAAACAGATGTTTCTTCCAAATCTGAGCACACCCTTGTGGGTACATGTGGGCAGAAACAAGTGCAAGCTAAATAATCTTTCAAATGGCAGCTCTAAAAGCTCATTTACGTTCCACTTTTGTACATAAACAGATCTGTGCATTCCAAGTGTAGTAACTGTCACTGCATTTTCCCTTCCAAATATTTCTAACATCAAGGCCACATACTCTTAAACAGCCACCAGAGGGCGATACAAGTCACTTAGAGAATTGGCCAAATAGGATGAAATAGAGCAACAAATAAACAAACATGAAGGTGCCCACGGCAGCTCTGTTGGAAAAAAGTCAAGGACATTAACTGATGGAAACATTTATTTGTTTTGCAGCTGGTTCTAGTTACTAGTTACTAGCTCCCACAATAGGGTTGTGTTCACTATTGTCCCCAGCAGTTGGCACATGTACATCTCCATTGCTAAGATTCCACATGTTCTGTGGAGACGGGCCAAATGACAGACAGATATATGGGTCTAGATCATAGAGCATAAAAGGAAGAGGGTAAAAACAAATTAAATCACCAGCACAAACCTCTTTAAGACGATGGGCACAGATGCTGCAGGGTTCTTCTTGAGACCGTCGATGATGTCTGCGGCCTTGTCTCCGTATATCCTCTGAATGGCTTTTCTGTGGATGACCTCTGATGACCCTCCCAGAGAGTTATCCAGTCTGAACTTGGCCTGTTCCTCAGCAGACATCCGAGATAGCTTCCTCTGCACCGTCTCCAGAACACGGATCGTGGCCAGGTTAGTCTCCAACACTACGTCCAGCTAAAAGAAAATGTTGACAAAAGTTTGTATTGTTGTATAGGTTCAAGGAGTACAACCTAATGTTATAAATTCTGGTTGAGGACAATGGCATATCCACAGGTTCCACAATTTTAACACATTCTCCAACAGTATCTTTGGAATGGAGAAAAAAAAAACCCTCAAAATGTCAAACAGAACAGGTAGCCCAAACCCATGCTTTAACTATGATCATTTGTTAAGGATAACCTCTGAAAACTTGCCATAGGTTAGGGCTTAAAGTCCTTTCTAGGTCTGTTACAGTGTTTACAACATTTTCAATGATGATAAATGACAGATGTATCTATCATTTTACAGGGTCAGTGTTCATCATGGGTACTTTTTCTTTGCACTACTGGGGAACTTTGTTCTTTTTCTGTACCACCATAAACACAAGAGGACTAAACTGACCTCAAAGCGCTCGTCCTCACATCTGTAGATATGCTCCTCGTACTGAGTTTTCTTGGAGGTGACAAATGTCGAGTCTTCAGACCAAGACGGAAAAGACACCCACGTATCATTCAGCACCTGCACAACATGAACCACAAAATATTAGTATTAAGTAAGAGTAACTGTATGGCATAACATTTAGCATAACATTTAACAGTTAGCATGCTAGTTGTTAGCATGTTAGTTTTCTACCATGGAAAATCTGATCTGGTCTATGAAAGTTGAGAAAAGCATTTAAAAACTCATTGAACACATGAATAAGGATGCTCATAATGCATTAGCTAATAAGTGAAGAATAACTTTGGACCACTGCAAACTGTTTAAAATAAACAAGTTCTGTTTCACGTTTTTAAGTCCGTTAAAATCAGGTATGGCTCCTTTAATAGGGAATTGGACCTGGACCATACCTCTTTACACAGGGGGGTGCGGCCAGTACACTTGGGCTGTTGGTAACTTTTGGGAAGGGCCCTGTAACTGGAGCCAAGTCTTTTGCAGGAAGCATAGTCGATCTCCATGGCGATGCCCTCCGTCGCCCGCTCCTTTGGGTATGTCTCAATATGGGACATTTCTCTGTATCCAAGGAAGTTCTTGAACCAGTTAAACAGCTCTGGAAATTTACTGTTTAAAAAAGACATGAACACATGGGATTAAACCTTGCAAATTGCAACAAATTTATTTTTAATACAAATGAAAACAAAATCTGCTGCTCGCTAGTGGGATGTGCAGCTATCCATAGAAGGGGCCAACAGCTGTGTGACTCTTTATTGTGATGACACTTAAGGTGACATCAGCTCCCAATGTGTACTGCAGTTTTCTAATGCAAAGTCAGTGGACTCTTTTCTATAATTAAGTTGTTATAGATCGAAATTGTGAGTTAAAATGTCCAAATTAGTATGACGCATTCTAATGATCCATGGGTGTCAGCGATTATAACTATATGACAGATAGGTCTTCTTTAATAAAATAATTAAATTAGTGTGAACTCAATCTTGTGTTTTATGGGTTTTGAATATTGTCCTTCCACTTGTAAATAGCCAGTGAAATAAATTCAAATCCTCACCCTAAAAATGGCAGCACCAGTTGCACCAGTTCGGCTCTGGAGATCACCTCTTGATTAAAAATGACCAAACAGCGCAGGAAGTTGTCGTAGGCCTCTGCACTTCGCAGGGCTTTCCGCACCTGTGGCAAAACAGCACCATTATCAATGACAAGACAGGAAATGATTATTTCAAAGAGGTTCCTTTTGGTCTTCCAATTTTATTTCCAAACAAAGTTTCATTTCAAGGGAAGTGTAAACAACACACAGGAAATTAGAATGTTAAATTTGTCCCCAAAGAGAGAGCGGAGTTTTCAAACAAGAGTTACATTCACTTTTGTTTAGCATTTAATACAATTATAACCACAATTGTATTGCTTTTTTGTGTGTTGTTTTATAATGACGCAAGTCTCAGTAATATTGTTCATGATTTTCTTTCAATGCGTTGCATATGAAATGGCAAATACACTCCTGAACTGCACCCACACCTTTATTTGGTTAAAATGTGTTTTGAAAATCTAATTTTACAATAGAAATAATTGTTTGACTAATCAACTAATGGAAAACATAATCACAGTCGACTCCTTCAGAATCATGAGTTGCAGGCAGCTCTATTTATGATGATGAAAAAAACATGCGATACTTGATAATAATTTGTATTCAAGTAAATCCTGATCCTAAAATCCTATTTGAAACAGTTATTTATTAATGTACTAATCTCAATTATACAAAAATTAACATATGGAGAAAATAAATGGAATATAATTTATTAGGACAAAGCCAACGTATGTGAGGTGAGTGGACAGAATGACAGCCCATATCATGCAGAACAGAATTGAACTGTCACAACAAAAACAATGTTTGTATTTTTTTAAATCCACAGTAGGCGTTATAATCTCTATCTTCAGCCTGCACCTTTGATATGTGTATTCATATCATATGCGCATTTATTTTTATGCAACCAAAATAAACGCTAATAAGTTCCTTCAGCCATCCCGTGCTCACCTTCTCAAAGAACAGAGACTCTGTGCCGACTCCATGTTTCCCTGTGTCTCCCACTGGGGGCTCTTTTAAAGACAGTAACTTCGGCTTCTTCTGTAGCAAAACCAACATAACAAAGGAAAAAAACACAAGGTACAATGATTAGAGAACTCTTCTAAATATTGGTTTTAGTTATACTGGAAAACGTTTGAGCTACTGTCAATCAGATATTACTCCAGCTAATAATGCAGTAACTGTATTGGGTATAAATATATGCATATCTGATCCTAGTGCATATAGCAAGTTAAAATGGTTTTCTAAGTATGACTTGGTTTGGTGGGATAGTACCAGCATATATTTCTTATAGTTTGACATCAGTCCAGTTTCAGACTGAAGAAAATTTTAGAATCAAAGTTGAAAATTACTGAAAGTAGCACTAAGCTCTAAAAGGGAATACTTATCATCAAATCAAATCATAACTATTGCGTAATTTAGCCAAGTTTTGGCCTTGTTATATTACGGTTGCTAGGTAATGGCCCTGGAATTACCTATGAATGTCTATGTATGTCACATCTGCTGCCTGTGTCCAACCAAGAGATAAGATTATAAACTTTAACAAAATAAATTGTTAAAACTAAGCAAGCCATGTGGCCTTAAATGGTGTAATCCCGCTGTCGTCCAGTTCCATAGTGGTCTACGAGAGTATACTAGTCTATTTGCTTTTATACTTGCTCTGGTAAAGCTCAAGATCATTCTAAAGCTATTCAGGAAAGGTTCATTCATGATTTTCGATTCTTCTGTCATCCCTAAAGAACAGTAAACCGAATGAAAAGACTGTCCGAACCTTGACAGGAGGAGCGGCGCCTGTAGAGGGGTGCCGGCGGATCTGGCAGCCATTTTGATTGGGTCTCTGCTTGTTGTTGTTGAGCTGCAGTTTCTTGGCAGTGCCCCCGTGGTCATTACGAACTGAATCGGCCTTTTCAGCAGTGGTCTTATTTAACAGCTGTTAAGAGGACACAGAGTGGACATAAAGGATTGTCAAGGGAATTGTCAATCACTTAGCTTTTGGCTGAAATTGAAGAAGATTTAGGAAAAAGAAAGGTTAGACTCTTAAAGATTTTTATTCATTGGCTGTGGTTAAAAGTGGACTCAAAATGTGATTATATCTGACCCAGCAAAATCTGATTCTTCTTCTTTCTTTCTCTTCCCTCTTGTTATCCACATCAGATTTGACTCTTTGCATTTCCTTTAAGTAACCTTAAAACAAATATGATGTTTTATTTGTATTATTTGTATGGTTATTGGCCTTTCATTATGCGCTTGAGTAAGTTTGCTTAGGAATTTCATGATTTAGAACTTAAAATGATATCTAATTAAAAATACAGACATCATTTCAAAGCCTCAGGTCTCATTATACTCTGATCTGATCTGGTGCAGCTCGCCATCTACTGGCAGCAGAAGGAATTACCATAGCAAAAACAATTAAACTAGGAACTGACAAACATGTCCGGACATATTAATGTAAACACGCAGCAGTAATGAATATAATCTGATTGCACAAATTCTTAGAACAAGTCTGGTGATGATTTATGTGTAGTTTCTATCTATGACCTTACAATCCTCGGCAAGTGAGTGTTCAGTGAGGCTCAGAGGAAAAGGACTTTTTATTCTAAAAAAAAAAAAAAAAAAAAAAATGTTGTATAATTTGTATTCTATAAAAAGGTCCAGAAATGTGAAGATGAGATTTTGGTGTGTATGTAACTGCACATGGTATTAAACTTATAAAACAGATTCAATTTATGAATAATGAGCTTAATATGCCTTTTTACATATAAATACTAAAAATACAAATTCTTCAGCTAACTCACAACTTCACTCAACTAATACACAACTAAGAAACCACTGACTGAATAATCAACTGCACAACTAAAAGACTACAGTGAATATAGTAGGCATAGGAACAGAAATAGTCCAGGGATAAGATTTGTGCACTCACCACAGAGCTGTTGGCATCGGGCAGGAACTGTCCGAACTCCGAGAGCAAATCCTCCTGGTTTTTGAAGAGTCGAGCCACCTGAGCATAGACTTCCTGCTCCGTCAGCGCGGGGGTGTAGTTCCCACCGGCCTCTTTAGCATTACGCTGCTCCTTCTGTGGAGAGGAAGAGACAAATGATGAGAAATGACAGCACTAAAATCTGCATGTTCCATATAACTAGTGGTAACTGAGCTATTTCCCTGACTTGGAAAAAATGCCCTCGTAAGAGGCTCAAGCTGGTAATTGCTACTGGGAGCTGGGAGATGGTCAAATGATTCCCACTTCAGATGCGACGTAAAGTGTGAAGTATTACAACAATGACTGACCAAAAAAAGAGAATCTGCATTGTTAAGTACCACATAAATGATGTAAACACTTGATACAGGTTAAATTCAACAATATTCTGTAATTTAATAAGCTAGAGACATTTGTTTAATGTTTACATTTTAATTATTAGCAATATTATTTACATAGGAGTTAATTTATCTGGAACAAACCGAGGTCAGAACTCGTAACGCTCAGTTGTACTTTCTTTAATTTCACTGTGTGATCTTACACTACTTCTGTTATGGCTCAAGACCATACCATTCTAAAAGGAAAGGTTAAATAAAATATGTCCAATAATTAGGAACTGTACATTAGCATTCTAGTTGTCATTGTGTTGTGTTGGGTTATAGTGTCAGCAAAACTTCGCTCTGGTCTCTGAGACTGGTGAAAAACGCTTATCATTGTGAATAATCAGGATGCTCGGAATGCAATAAGTGAGGAATAACTTTGGTTTAGGGTTGTCAAGAATCAAAAATTTGATAGTATTAGGTAATAGAGTTTTCCTTAGTATCGAAATTTAGTACGACTTTTTAGTGGCAACAATACTTTAGTTGTGTTTTCAAGACATTAAAAATCAGGTACAGTGCCTTGAAGAGTTTGCCTCACTGACCTGGTAAGTATGAAGGATCTCCAGGAAGGCTTTGTAGATGTCGGGTTGTCCCTGGAAGCGGTTCTTGATCTTGTTGACGTAGTTGATGGCGTGATTGAACTCCACAGGCTGGTTGTTCTGGAGGGGTGGGCCGGTGGGGGTCCCGCTCAGGGGAGTGTGCAGTTGCATGGGCGGGCTGCGGGGGGAGCTGTAGGCTGGGATGGACGGATTGCTCTGACTGCTGGGAGTCAACACCTGTGGCTGAAGAGGCTGTAAGAAAGACAGAAATGCTTTAGATAATTAAGGGGCTTAGTTTATGCTATTTTCTGATCTATGTTATAATAATGTAAAGTTGTGTTTTGTTTCATTCACACACGTTTAACACACAAACTCTGCATATTTAGGCCGAGTTCTTCTAAACGGAAAACACTGTTCCACCTTGTGGTGTGAAGATGTGAAGTGCTGCAATGTGTTCTTAAACTCCATATACCTTCACTAAAATCATTAGGATAATTTCAGACCTGGAATATCCAGTTTCTACTGAACAAATGATAAAAAGTAGCTGTTAACATGAAATCACAATGCCATCACAAGGCTCAACAGAGCATTTTAGGTTTGGAGTCTACCGGTGTGAATGAAACAAAAATGAAACTCCAGGTTGAAACTCATGGTTTTTGATGAAATAACAATATCATAACATGGCTAAAAGCTCACAAGAGTCAATTTTGTGTAACCTAGGGGCATTAAAGTCCGTACAGGTTTTCATGTTTTTCTAATTATTACTTAGTTTGCTGGGAAAGTACCTGTGGTATATATTTATCATGGTTTTATATCAGCTAAGAAGCAGTTGAGAAGTACAAAAATACAGGAAGAACAGTCAAGTTCTACAACAGAATACCTCTATGTCATCAACACTGAAAATTCCAACCAAAATGTGGGAACAATTTATGCACAAGGACAATTATTTTTTGAGAGATTAAATAAGCATTTACAGAATTAAGGTGTTGCTGTTTATTTCCATTAGTCTAATTAACAACTATTAGAATGTAAGTTTTGGCCCTTCCCAATCCCAAGGACTGCATTTATTCAGGTAACATATTTTCTTTTGCAAACAGCTTATCATGACTTTTGCTTTAAAAACTACTAACCCTGTAATAACTCCTCTACCAACATGTTGGGGATAGTGTTTTTTGTGTTAGTTTAGGAGTTCATCTTTCGGCCTTCTCTGAAATGTTTATGCTCACCTAAAATGTGAACTTTGAACAGAATCCTACAACAAAAACAAATCGTGAATTGAATAGTAATTTCCCTTCCTGCTAAGTACCGTTTAGAGGCCACCATAACACAATCTGAACACATTTCGCTAATGAAACTCCACATTGTTTGTTTCCATTGTTTTGTATCATGCTTTTGTATATTTATGAAAAAGGGCAAGAGCGTGGGTGACGTAGACTTGTGGGCTGAGCTTTGGATAGGAACATACTGCTAACTGCTGTAAGGAGGGTTCAAATAGGGCCAGGAGAGATCACTAGATTACTCAAACATGCATGGATGACATAAAACCTCTGTTTTTGATGAGGGCGATTTTGCATTTTAAACCCTGTGTGTGCTCACCTTGCTGATCTTGGCAGGAGTGACCTGGCTGAGCACAGGTGCAGCCGCGGTGGTAGCGGTGGGCGGGTGGGGGGCTGGGTGCTGTGCGGTTGCCCCGGTGATGGGGATGTTTTGGACTGAGATGCCATGTGGTGTGATGTGGTGGATCTGCCCTGGTGTGGTCACATTAACCAGGTCGTTGGTCTGAACTTCGATTTTGTATCCGGGCGGCAGAAAGGTATTGAAGCCCATGATGAGGTCGGGGTGACCCTTAAACAGCTGGGACACTCTGCTGATCACCCCTGGGGTGTCAATACTGAGGACAAAAACAAATCATGACATATTTATATGGTCTGTAAAAATCAGATCACTAGAATAAACAAATAACCCAGTTATTATTAGATGTGATTTTTGGAGTGGGTTTGCATACTCAAAAGAAATCTGATTAACTGATATGTGTCACAAGAGTTTTTGATAATCAGAGGAGTTTTAGAATAACTGTTGTATATGAAAACTGATAAAAAAAAAAAAAAATTCAATTTGAATATTTTATCATCCATTTTGGTCTTTACCACATTAGTTTTCGATTTTTGCATAACTGGCCTTGCTCACATTCACACATCTGATTCACATTTCACCTTAAATGACATGTAAACTGCAAAATCTGATGTGAGTAATCAACGGGACCATGAGCAGAAAGACTTTTGATGCTTTTGCTTGTTACATTTCATTAAATAATCTTAATCGCCAAAAATCTGAAATGACTTCGATTTTGCGTGCGCAGGTAACCACAGCCACCGTCTGCACGGATGTGAACAATCAGAAAGAAATCACACACTCTCATTAGATGCAACTGTTTACACAACATTTCAATAATTAGATGACTCCAGAAATCAGATTATGATCAGATTTTTGGTGTGCATGTAAAGATAGCCACTGTTTAGCGAGACAAGAACTTTGAACCATCCATAGAATCAAAAATGTGACATTCTAAAACAAACAGATGGCATCTGAATACAAACTCAACATTTGGCATTTATTTGTTGAAAGAAATAATATTGATATTTTAAGGTAGGCTAAATTAGCCTTTTCAGATTAGTATGGGCTTCTTTGTTTTGAAATGTTGCTGCTAAAATGCCAATGTTAAATGAAACTTAATTTCATCAGAAACTTAAAAAAAAAAACATGTGTAGCTGCAATTTAATGTGTTGTTGGAAGCTGTTAAATATATTGATAGGCAGGAATAAGATATAAAATATATGAATACTTGTCAAAATAATTACATTGTAGAAGTCAAAAGAACAGAAAGCCATATCCATCCACATACCTCTGAGACTTGAACTCTTTCATTATGTCCAGAAAGTCATTGTAGACCTGAGGCTGGTTTCCAAACTGCAGCTTCACTTGGTCCAAGTAGGACAAAGCATCTTCCACCTTTGGGAGAAAAAAAATTAAGTTGGAGTTACATAAGAAATTCAATTCATTATACCCAATTATCTGTCTAAGCTCTAGGTGCAAGGCTTTGTTTTAAATTACATAGTTTCAAAAGTAAAAGAAAGCAGTGTGCTTAATTCTCCCCCATGAAAATTTTCTGCTCACCTCAAAACGTCAAACTATTTTGAGACTGACAAAAAGGTTTGACACTCAATACTACTTTTCTATAACCAGAGTAAGTTTAAAAAAAAAATATTATCATTTATACTAGTACTGATACAGATCTAGACAATTCCAAATCTTCAGAAGAGGTGACATCTAGGAATTGATTTTTTGACAGTCCTAACCTGTCAGCAATGCATTCATACACAGGGAGACCATACAAACGAGAATGACCCCACCCAGCTCGGGAATTGAACCCAGAATCTTCTTGTTGTGAAACCAGACAAACGACCACTCAGTCACCATACTCTTCATGCGAACACTGAGCGCAGAATAAACTTTAAAACTGCAAAATCATCCAATCAGCCTGTTTGTTCTCATCCCTCACAATAAAAAATAATGGCTCTATAAAGTAAAATAAATCTATAAAAGTGATATAGAGAGGATGCCATCTGTTCACACACGTCAGTCTGACCTTGAGCCTCTGAAACTGCTGCTGGCCCTGCACGGAGGCCTGGGGGGGAGCGGTAGGATGGGTGTGCCCAGAGATGAGAGCTGGGCCGTGGGATTGGACCGCAGGGCTATGGTGGTGAGACCCGCTGTGCACCGCGGGGCTGGGGGCGTGTCCATGTCCACCGCTGTTCTGAGCCACAGTGGGCACCTGGAACAAAAGTGAAACAAAAGATTAAGTACAAGGAGGTGTATATTAGGGCTGCACAATATATATCGGAATCAAAATAGTACTTTGAGTTTTGCGCAATTGCTGCAGCTCATATGCCGTTTGGCAGCTTGTGGCTTTGAGACTATTGTGCAACACACAAGTCTTAACTCAAACAACTGATTTGGCATTTCTGCAAATTAAAAGCAAAAGAAAAACAAAAACATTGTGCCTTGTTGTATTAAATGGCTCTACCGGCTTGTCACAACCTGATCTCGTCAGATCTCAGAAGCCAACCAGGGCAAGGCCTGGTTAGTACTTGGATAGGAGAATGCTGGGAAAATTAGGTTCCACAGTGGGAACAAGCTCTTGTTGTGTCCTTAGGCAAGACACTTCAACCACATGAATGTGATATGTGTGTTGGTGTTTGCTGAAGGGCCGATAGTGTAGATTGGATGCCTTGTTTCCGTCAGTCAATAGTAGCTTTTCACCACTGAGTGTAAAGTGAATTAATAATTCTTTGAATTTATTCAAATGAGCTATATAAGTCCAATACATTATTATTATTAAATAAAATACATGACACAAACACCACGGTTACCTGGTATCCTTGAGGGACGGAGTACTGCACTCCGGCTGTGGGCTGCATGTTTTCAGACACTGCCTCATAAACAGCAGGAGCAGGTGGAGCCGGGGCGAGGGTGCGATGCTGGAAGGCCTCGGCGTTACCAGCAAGGCGCCTCTGCTGGGACGCAAAAACTGTGTCCTGATCCTCCAATCGCCTCTTCATTATGAACTCATACTCGTGAGAACTGTCAGACCTACGACAAGGAGAGACAAATGGTATTTTATTAGTACACTATAAGTACATAATTTGATTTTTAGAATTAAGCCTGTCACAATAACTAATTTTGAAGTGTGATATATTTCTTAAGTAAATAAAGACAATATATGATAGTAATGAAACCAAACCATAAAACAGAATTATCCCACAAAACATATTCTAAATATTATATATTATATAATTATGCCTTATTTGACACATGCCTCTTGCTATCTTTTTGTTACTTATTTACAATTTATTATTACTGTCTATATATGTTTTTTACTCTTTATTATATTACATTGTGATGAGTGAGCTACTGTGTCCAAATAATTTCCCTTGTGGATCAATAAAGCTTGTCTAAGTCTAAGTAATTTTCTTCCTCTTATTGCACCAAATGAAATCCAAAATTGTGGCATTTGTACTTCTTGTGATAAAGGCATCACCAGCAAAAAATAAAAGGCCAAATCTGACACTTGTTTCAACTTTAGAGTCCTGCAGGGTCAACAGAGTGATCAATGTCATCACATGATAAATGAGGAAAGATCTCACGTTATTGTTCAAATTAGTCCTTTAACTTTGTTTTACTGAATTACATTGATGAAATAGGCTTTTGGGGACAACTTTATTTAAGACATTAAAAATAGTTATTTTGTGTTAATTTTAAAAATACTTGTATTTGTTCATATCAAAGTCCTTAAAATCATGGCACAGAAAAATGTTTGATTTTGTCAAAATTTCTGCAGACAAATTATTATGTTATCACTAATTCTACATGTGACCCTTTCACTGAATGATACTTCGATGCTTTAAACCTATAATATACTTTCAAATTTGACTTCTTCATCTGAATGCATATTGGTACAACTAAAGTGATATAAAACAAATAAATGTAAACAAACAATGTAAACCTTTATACATTAATAACTAGAACTTTTGTGGCTTTTGGACACAAAAATGTCTACGTAAAGTCACTGGCCTTTATGCGTTTTGTAATGACATGTTGCTCCACAAATAAAATACACAAATTCATTAACAAATAGCATAAATATACATATAAATTAAAAATAAAGGAGAAAATCCAGTGCAGTGCGTAAATCTGTCTTCAAACCCAGCTGACAGGGGAGGGCTGACCGTCCGAGCTGCAGCCAATGGAATCTATAGCAACCTTACGTCACCATCTCAACAAACAGGTGCTGAGGAGCTCCCTTCGCCATTCACAACTTCCTCACGACAACAGCCGCTTCTGAGCCGCTAAATCCATGACTTAAACCACACCAAAAAGGTAGTAGAGGGGTTCAAGCGTCCAATCGAGCAAAGTTACTCAAAATCAATCCGAAATACGATGGTTTGGCAGGTCCTGTTTAGCTCCTGACAGTGAAGCTATGCGCGGTGACGAATGGTCGCTCCGAACTGCCACAACCAGCGATCAAACTATGGTTACTCCTTTCAAAACGCACACAGACACGGTATAAGTAGTTTCTGTGTTATAGTAATCATATACACTACATTTAACCAGTCTTACGCCGTGCATTACTTGTTAGAACGTCTCGGAGGCCTAGCACAAGCTCCGACCTCGAGGTAGCGTAGTGACTCCCCGCCCGCCATTTAGCGTGGCAGAGCCGTAGCCAACATGTCAGAAATGTAACCACGTCAAATGTATCTAACATTTGCACATGACTGAGGTTTTTTATCGGCACTTTCCATTCTGAATGCACACATATAAACAGTTTGAGAAGTTTTGCAGCCAGTTGTTTTGTCAGACGCGGCTGTATGTTGCGTGCTAAGTGCTAGCTAATGTAAACAACAAGCAGTGTCCACGGTTAGCTTCCAAGCACATGCAGCTAAAGGCTAACGCTGCAGCTGAACGGGCGATCTGCAAACACTGTTCTCACTTAACTCTGCTCTTTTCAGATGAAGATACACACGCAGGCCACAATGTAATGACGGGAAACATATTAAGAAAACACAGCCTCAGATTTGTCATTAGATCGCTTTGATTACTGAATGAATTCTTGTGAACTCACCCCTCTCCTAAATGGCAAAAACTCAAGTTAGTAGATTAACCTTCGGTAACAATGCGATCTGCGGATGGATGCCCGAAAAGGAAACCGCGACGTCGGTGCAAAAAGTTTGGTAGCGATTAGAGATGTATTAAATAAACATTTGAAGCAGTGGGCTGTGAAGTAAAGACCTCCTTCGACAGAGGAAAACAATCTCCGTTCGGTTAGCTGTAGGGGCGTGTCATCCGCGCAGGTCCCGCCCGTTCGAGAAGTCAATTGGTTAATTTAAGTTAGAAGAAGGGGGGGTGGATGCTGACTGGTTATTTAAAATGTCAATCGAGGCATAATCCCACAGTAGTCCCGCACACCCATTTTGAGTTGAAGCGCGACCGTGGCTGAGTGAGTGTGTGAGTATGCTTTCATAGAGTGACCAGATGTACCTATTTACCCGAGACAGCCCCAGTTTTGAGGCCTGTGCCCCCTGTCCCAGCAAATTTATCCAAAACCAGTGATTTGTCCCAGTTTTATACAAGAAATGACCCAGGTGTCCCTATTTTTGACCAATCTGATACCTGCCAACAGTAAAGAGAAGCAAACATTGACATTTGTTTAGGTAAAATACAGGTAAAAATAAGCAAAAGCTAAGAAAATGTGACTGTACTGACTCACATGTTAGTCATGAATGGTCTCTGCATAACAATTTTCTTAAATTACAGGCTCATTTCACAATTTAATTATTACCAACCACCAGAAAACTGGGGATGTCCCAGATTTTTATTTTGAAATTCTGGTCATCCTATGCTTTCATAATCAGAAAACATGTAATGTCGGGGATCTGTTAGACTTTCATACAACTTCTGACAGTATATAAGAACATACGTCAACAATGGTAAAATATTGATTTACAGATACAGATAGCACTGCACTCTAAACTTTGATTGTTCCCTTTATGATAGACCAAACAGGCAAACTCAACGACTGCTACATTTAAGTCTGAAATGGTAAACATCAACTTACATTGTTAGTTTACAGCACGCCAACCTGTCACAATCCTCTATTTTATTGAAAGAAGCATGTTTAATTTCTCATTTGAGTACCAAATGCAAAACTGTACAGGCAATAATATAGTTGAAATGTATTTAATTTATTGTAAAACTGTCCCTGTGCAGGTGCTGCCCTACGTGCATATTTTTCATTTTGATTTAGAAGTATCACAGTTTGAGAAAGTGTCTCAGACAAGCAAGAAAGATCACTGAGAATAAAAACTGTAGAAAAGAGCGCAGTATGTAATCACATTAATCTTGCACTGAATGACGTTGCATTATGAGAAATTACTGAATAACATATCACATTTTACATCTCTGCAATGCATTCTCTACATGTTGCCTACTTCCTGGAGTTTGGTGACACGTGACACCGAGCGTCTTGGTGCTTTACGCGTTTGCCACGCCCATTTGAGTACACAGTAGCCAATCATTTGACATAGTCTTTATTGCAAATCCAGAAAAGGTGGAACTTCCAAAATAAACCCTCGCCCACGACAGGCGGAGCTGTGCAGAGGCAGCCCGGGATTCCTCCTCAGAGAACCAGGCGCAAGACTCAGCGGCGACCGACAGCTGCGACGCACGGCAGCCGTCTCCTGCGCTTCGTTCGACGGCTTTCCCACCTATTCAAGCCCCGCTCTTTGCACACACAGGCTGCAGTGTCGTTTTAACACACCGCATACGAGCGTTTGACAGCTTTGAATCTTGTTTAATGCAAAACAATCCAAGAGACAACGCAGTGCGGGCAGGAAAACCCACTGCTCCGGACAAACGGCGAGGAGGAGCTAGCGCCAACTGCTCCCTTCGATCGACGTGGGCTCTACTCTACCCCCTCCGTACATCCAAATAACACGATCAAAAACACTTAAACCGAGTAGCCTGAACATGTCGCTTTGTTGTCGCGAGGGATCAATGCACTGGGGGCTTTAGGAGCATCTATTCGTGCTGCAAAGAGCTGATCCAGTTGCCCTTTCCAAACAATGCCAAAGTCAAACCGAACGGAACTGTGGCTACGCAAAGGCGCCGCGGAGCCACGCCAACCTCCCCGACCCCGAAACACCGACCAAACAGCCGCAAATCCCGTCGTTTGAGTGTGCACATGTGCGCCTTTCGGTACATATTCTTTGTTTACCCCTTTAGCGGGGAGTAAAATGTCTAACCTGTCTCTCACCACAACAACTCTCCCTCCCCCTACATTAGCCAAGCAAGCAGCGTTACATGCACCGTTCACACTAACACCACACATGGTCACAAAGCACATTTTAACACTTCCAGAGAGCGGGATGCTGCAAAATGTACCAATAAATACATCGTTAACAACCAACATTTAGCCCTTTACGCGCCCGAGCTGTGCTGGTGTTTACGACGTGAAAAACCTCCCTCCAATTCATTTAAGGCACCGTAATACACAGAAAGCCACTTGACTCAAAATGGACGCCGATCGTTTACAAATGCAACCCAAACGATACGATTATTTAGTTTAAACAGCTGTTACATACCCAGGAAAAAGACTTCTTACTCCGGATTCGTGTTTGTAACAAAATAGTTGGAGACGCCCCCCTCCGCTGGCATTGGCGCACGCTCCGAGAAGCGTCACGTCACTTTGAATATAACCCGCTAAAACTCAGGAGGAGTCAATTCAACATGCACTGCTTAAAGGTTCTAGATTACGCAAAATTGACTCTTGGGAACTTAAATCATGTTAGAATGTTGTTACATCATCAACAAACATACTAGGGGTTGTATTTTGTTTGATTCATCCATGTTATCATTTATTATCAGTCTGTCTCCAAAGCTCAAAATGCTCTGTTCCACCTTGTGATGTCATGAAGTCGTAGTTTTCAAGTTAACAGCTACATTTTACCTTTTATTCAGTAGAGATAGGTAATTCCAAGGCTGAAATTCTAGTGATGGTGTATGGAGTTTAAAAACATAGCAGATCACTTCCTGTAAGTCTATTATCACATGACATCACAAGGTGGAACAGAGTGTTTTCCATTGGAGAGACGAACTCAGCCTAAATATGCAGGATTTGTGTGTTAAACGTGTGAATAAAACAAAACACAACACCAGGTCTGTTTATGGTGAGAAAACAACACTATGGCAATGCAATATGAGCCTTTAAATGCAAAAAATACTTTGTACTACAATTCTTATTTCTGTAATATGAGAATGCTTTGAAACTTTAACATGTTTCTAGAGAAAAAACTTTTTTTTAAAATTCCAAATAGCCTATTATATGAACTATATGACTATGAAGAGTGGCCTTTATGATGGCCTTATCTAAAACCTTGTACAGACCAGAGTTTATTTCTTTGTTGTGTTTGGTAACCTGTCATTCTTTATGGCCTACACTAACTAATGTATTTGTTAATGTTAAGCAGGTTGCCTTCAATTCTTGAACTGAACTGCTTTTTATTTTAATGGGCATGAATAATTGATGCTATAGGCAAGTGTAGTCCTGGTTAAAGGTCCTACGTATATTACCCAAAGTGGACTCTCGTGAGCTTTTAGCCGTGTTAGAATGTTGTTACCTCATCAAAAGCTTAAACAGAGTTGTGTTTAGTTTCATTCACAAATGTTTAAGTAATTCTACATTGTAACATAGATCAGAAAATGGCGTAATATGGGGTCTTTATCAAGCTCCAGAAAGTTAGATACTGTAGCTTTAAAGTTAAGAGCATACTTTCTCCAAGAGTTTTATGCCAAACTGGAATTATTTTATGATTTTTATAAAGGACAGTACATAAAAAGCATCATCAAAAAATCTAAAACTGGTGGCATAACGTTTTCTAGTGTAGACCTATAGACTGTATATAGCCTGTGGACATAACTAACCTGCTAAATGTCACATTCCAAAAAGGAAGTGAGCATGGGCACGCTTCTGCACTGAAAAAAAAAGGTTGCTGGATTTGCATAAAAAAGTTCTGGAAAGCGGTTGCACACAATAAAATTATGTTTAGGCTTTGAAACTTTTTTTGAACCCCTCTACACATATTTATCTCAGAACATGAACATCACTTTTTCATGTTGATGAAATTTGAACAAATCATGCTGAATATGCATATTTATCTTATGGTACCTTATCATGAAATGTATAAGTATGTATAATTTAATTTAATTGATCTAATTCTGTAAAAGAATAAAAAAACAGTCTTTAGTTTTCTACAGATCTGTATTGTCTTAAACAGAATCAAACACAAAGAGAGCACAGGGACAGAGACACACAGTTTGGAGCTGGACAGTGTGAAGATTTATTCCAGTGAAGACGCTGTGCTGCTTTTCTTCCTCTAAACGCAGTAACAGGGAGGGCATCTGATATAAAGTCCTCCTAATGCCACATCACCCTGTAGAAGCACGATAACTGTTTCAATAGGAAGTTCATTTTGAAAAATTTTAAAATAATTTTAGTTGGTTTACTTACTTTGTTCATCTGTGCTCTGTGTTTTGTTGGTTCTCAAACATCTTCCTTTTTTCTGAAACATCAGCTGTAACATTCATGAACTTCCCCACAGCTCCAGCAGAGCTCTGGACGTCACTCTTTGTTTGTAGACGAGTCTGGAACAAACACATTCAAATCTGAGTACAACTGTCACACTCTTGTAGATGGACAGTCAAAGACAATTTGTTTCAAGGAGTCCTTACATTAACTCTAATTTCAAATAAAACACCACAAACATGTTTTAACAATGAAAACATTCTAGGCCGGAGAAGCACATAATAAAATCTTTAAAAAGTCTTACCTCCAGATCAGCTCTCATAATCCTCCTGCTCCACACTGTGTGTCTCTGCTCCTGGATCTGTCCTGTTACATTTGAATTTTCCCTCCAAAAGTTTTGGGGAGGAGGATTCCAGAGGGAGGAGCCTCACCAGAGATTATAATAAAGTCATGTTTCCTCAACCTGATTAAAACATGCAGGTCTAACATCGGCCACAATCAAGCGACCTTTGTAAGATTTAAACATGCTTGACAGAGAAACGTAGAAAAGTGATGTTATTGTTGTCAAATTAGTTTTTGCAATTTGAGCAACCCCTCTCGGACCGTTTTTTCAGTGTGGCTCCACCTCCAAATCACTCTGTATTGAAAAAAAAACATCGCTCCTCTTTCTGTAACTGCTGCTGTCAGGTTCCTCATTTTGGTCTTAAAATGTTCTTATTAACCTGCTCTACAAGATCATGGTGTATTTATTTTGCTATTTTGTCCGTATATAAATTCCTATTCCTAATGCGAAATGCTGCTTCAAATTCCTCCTATAACCGTGAACCTCAATGAGCTTCATTTGACTGGCTGAGTGACGTCGTGGTCCCTTAGTCCACTTCATTATAAGCTACAATAATCACCGTTCAGGAAGTTCTGTGGTGGCCTGTCTCGGTTTTACCCACCTCGTAACTGATTTAAATGTAACAGTTAAGTCTTCCCAGAGTGTCAAAGGGAAGTGTATATCTCCTGCGCTTTATAACAACAACTACAATGCCTATTCACGTATAATCGTATTTCACAAGTGAGAGTTCCAATGGTATGAGCGTTTCCCCCGAGGACACCCACACCCACAGATCACACACCGCACTGGAACGGGAAGACACTTGGCTTAGGTGTCTGAACTGTCTATTGTTTCCATTATTTTTACCTTATAATGCACTTGTAAGGCCCCATTATGAGCTAAATGGCACATAATGTAATGGATACTATATGAAAATTGTAATCAACTTCATCTTTATTTTGGACACATGGTCCATTTTAAAACAGATAAGGACAGTGACAATACAAAACAATAAACATTTATGTTTTTAAAAGACAGTCATACCAGTGTCTCCACATATTGGACTGATATCTTATTGCACTGAATCTCATATTTGTGAGTGACATTATTATTCTTTTTCCTAAAAACTTTATTTAATAACAATTTCTAAATATCAGCATAAATATATTCACCAACTCATGATAAACATGTACCAGACCAGATTGAAAAAAGACAGATAGACAAAAAGTGAGATAGGAATCAAAGACAAGAGTGAAAAACATCAATCTGGAACCGAGGGAAAATGAACAGACTCAACAAACTGAAAAAATGGAACCCATGTTTTCTTGACAGTCTTCAATGACCCCCCAAGAGTACATCTTACTTTTTCCATGTTCACAAAATATAGAATGTGGGTGGAGCAGGAGACTGAGTGACATTATTATTTCATGGTCTGATTTGTTCAGTCTGTACATTAAAATTCTAAGTGCAGCTTGCAAAGTGTCCACTCGTGCAGTAACAAACATCTCCGTCGCTCTCGTCCAGCTTGGCCTCCTCAAAAACATCCGTAAAGCGTCTTGGGAAGCCACCTGCGGTCTTTGCAAACTGGCTTTTTTATAATTAGTCCAGAGGTGAGCTGTGTACAATGGTGTACAGTATGATTTAAACAGTAACAACTTTACATCCTTTGTACAAGAACCAAACTTACACAAACATAAGAGTATTTGCCTGAGCATAGAGCATCCTACACTGTCTTTACATATCATCATCATCTGTCATATCCACGGTGATGATATGCCCAAGATATTTGATTTTTGTTGGAACAGACAACACAACATTTGAGAGGCAAAAGTGAGGAAATCTCATGTGTTTATCTTCTTTGGTTTTACAGATCATGACCATACTCTTGGTTGCATTACACTTTATATCGTGCTCCACACCGTAAGCTGAAAAGATGTTGAGTAGCTGTTGGAGACCAGCGGTGCTTGGGCTGATGTAATGTTTCTTGTTGTGTATTGTTCCATTTGCACATGTTTAACACACAAACTCTTCATATTTAGGTCGAGCTCTTCGCTCAAACTGAAAACACGCTGTTCCACCTTGTGATCATGTTATAATACAAGAAGTGCTCCACTGTGGTTCAAACTTCTTACGCCTTCACTAGAATCATTCGGATGATTTCAGCCATGTAATTGCCCATCTCTACTGAACAAAAGGTAAAAAGTAGCTGTTAACTTGAAAATTACTGATTCATGACTTCCAAGATGGAACAGAGCAATATGAGCTTTGGAGATATAGACAGACTAATAAAACAAAATGTGTGAATGAAACAAAATACAACTCTAGGTATGTTTCTGATGAAGCAACAGCATTAAAACATGGCTTAAGGACAGTTTATGTAATATAGGACTTTTTAAAGAGGGGTATTATGCCAAATCTCGTGTTATAACGTTGTTCCCTCATCAAAAACATGCCTTAAGAGGTTTTCGATGTCATCCATGAATGTACAAGCCTCCCACATGACAATTCTAAAAAAATATAACAAAAGCATGATACAAAACTATACCCTGCAACTTCAGAAACCAAGTGCAGTAGTTTCATTAGAGAGATGAACGTTGAGATGAGAAGCAAGAGGATTCAGAGCTTCAAAAATGAAACTTGGACAATATTTACTACTAATAAAGTGTATTATTGAGGAAAGACTTCTGAAATTTAGATTTTAAAAAGTATTTCTTATTAAAGGTCTTTCGCTGCCTATGTGCATAGTTCTGATAACAGTGAAGATAATCAAAATACGACATGGCTATGATGTTTCCTATTGTTTGCATTATCTTTTCTTATAAAGTACAGTAAGATAAGATAAATAAGTGCAGTGGTGGAATGTAACAAATTAATAGTAGAAATGTACTGTATTTAAGTATACATTTTAAGTAGCTTTACTCAGAGATGGGACCAAGTCGTTGTTTTGCAAATCTCAAGTAAGTCTCAAGTCTTTGAACTCAAGTACAAGTCAAGTCTCAAGTCAAATACAGGAAAGTTCAAGTCGAGTTTAGAGTTACTGGTCCATAAGTCCAAGTCAAGTCTAAGTCTTCTGCTTTGAGCTTTAAGTCATTTCAAGTTTTTAAACTAAAGTACCAAAGACAGCTTAGATTTTTGCAATTTATATGAATTTTAAGCTAAACTGTGCTTAAAAAAATCATACTAATTTATATATGAGTATTTATAAAGTATGTAACAGGTGTAGAAATGTCCATTTTTCCTTTTTAAATGTCTTGACAAGATCTTAGTGTGAATCATTACGGTCAGAATAGAAAGAATTCAGATTTAAGTCTTCTCAAGCCACAGTCGTCAAGTTCGAGTCAAGTCCCAAGTCTTAATCCATTTTATCAAGTCAAGTCTCAGGTTCAAGTCATGACTTGCAAGTCCCCACCTCTGCCTTTACTTCATTACATTTGACAGCTTTGAGACACATCTGTACTTTTTACCCCACTACATTTTTGAAGTGGAATGAAAAGTAAAAAGTATTTATTATTGTCTGAGACGTACTAAAAAGGCCAACGGTTTATATGCCAAGAAAAAACAGCTAGAAAAACAAATTCAGTATTTTCTTTTAAACAAAATCAAGCACAAATCTATCAAAATTACTACATCCGAAGCCTCATTAGATTTCAAAAGCAGTGTGGAATACTTTTACTTTTCTCTTTAAATACAATTTAAATGGCACTTTGATACTTTTATTTTAACTTGTTTTTGTTTTTTTTGCTCCTGTACTTTTTCTTGAGTTCTTTTTCCATCACTGCCAGTATGTATGTCAAATCCTAAATTTCTGGTTGCTGCAGGTTGATAAAAACACAATGACAACAGTTCACTTTCACAAAGTTTGTATTTAATAAGAGTATAGCTTGATTCAATAGTCATGACTAAACAATAAAGTAATAGGTTATAACAAAACACATATAAAATAAATGTAAATAACTGTATAGCTTGTGTAAATCTAAGAAACTTGAATAGAAAAATAAAAAATAGGGCATTGCGTCCATCGTCGAATGGACAACACACGGCAGACTCAACACTTCACTACCAGCAAATTCAATATGAATTTTGTAGTAAAGAATTTTTTACCCAGCAACATAATGACACAAAGACTAAAGGCTCTGTACATGTTTTATATATATATAGACAAATGACAGACAGATTTCAACCACATTCTAACATGATTTTACAGATTTTATTTTGATTAACTACGCTGTGCAGAAAGTTGAAGCCAGACTTGAAACAGCTGTTAAAGGGTGTAATAAGAACACTTTTTATCCAGAAAATGTCAAAATAGTAGGGCTGTAGTTGTTTAACCATTTTTTATCCACATTCTTCTCTCTTCTCTTTTAGTTCTATGATAAATTTATGTTCTGTTCTGTTTGTATTGTGAGTTCACGGTCTTTCTTATTCTGCAAAGCGCCTTGAATTACTTTGTGTACGAATTGTGCTGTACAAATAAACTTGCCTTGCATTTCCATCGTGGCTTCCACCAAAATCTTTGACTCTGAATGTTTGGATTTTATGTAATCATTAGGATTTAAATATGACAAGTTTAATCTGTCTTTATATAAATATTTTTCCTAGTACTTCTTCTGTATAAATAGTAGTTTTTGCATGAACTCCCGTGCAGGTGTAGTCTTGCGAGTGCAGTTTGGGTCAGATTAGATACAGAGACACTTAAGAGTTTTGAGAGCTTAGCCATGCCTCCCTTTTTGGTCAACCAATCAATCAGCAGGACATGTCTTTAGTCGACCACAGCCCTAGAAAATAAGCCAGATTGTTTAGTTGTACATCTGAAGAAACACAAGACTTGTAGGTTAGACCATTTAACACATCACATACTCAAAGACCTAGAGCTTTTATATTGTTATTTTTTATATATATATTGTATTGTATTTATAAAGATGCACTATGTAACTTTTCTGGTGAGGGGTCTACCATTTGCTTGCTATTGCATTCATTGCCTGAAATATTCCACAGTCCGGCATTATACTTATCACCATGGAGACCAAGCAGAATCTTTGGAGGCGCAAAACTGCTCGCTGCATGTTTTTTCAAAGCATATTTTTGCAATTAACTGAATGTGACTGTTTGCTTGATGCCATACTCCGGAATGTTCCAGGCAAAGCTTTAACATAGTCACAGAAACAAACAGGTGGCATACGCACTACCACAAAAGTTACATAGTGCATCTTTCAAGGTCCTATATTGCGCAAAACTGACAAAACGTGAGCTTTAAGCCATGTGATAAAGCTTCCTCATCAAAAACAGACCTGCAGCTGTGTTTTGTTTTGTTCACACTTTTGAGTAGCCCTTTATTAATAGTCTGTCTACATCTCCAAAGCTCAAAATGCTGTTCCACCTTGTGATGTCATAATGAAGTGGTAGTTTTACATCTAAAATTATACTAATTATTCTAGTGAATGTGCATGGAGTGTTTTCTGTTTGAGAAAATAACTAAATATGCACGGTTTGTGTGTCAAAATGCGCGAATGAAACAAAACAACTCCAGGTCTGTTTGTGATGAAGAAACATTATAAAATAGATCAGATAATAGCGTAATATGGGACCTTTAATCACTGAGCACATAAAGGCAATCTGTAAAAGTGCAAAGAAACCATTTGTGTTAAAAACTCATGAGACGAGGACTTGAAGGCGTACAGTTGAATTCATGGCATCTGTGGTTTGACACGATACATTCACTTCCTAAAGCGTAATCAAAGGCAATGGGTCGCTGCAAATAGGGATGTCAACATGATTGTGGCGATTATACAGATCAACAAAAAATAACAGGGGATCGCAGCAATTTTAGAAGCAAAATCAAGCTATATGTATTCAATATATATATTCTCCAAAAATGTAATTCAGTATTTTTGCTTAAGATGGATATTCAGTGTCACAGTTGGTGGTTTTCAGATTCTAGAATGCAGTGATGTTGTTTGAGCAGATGGGAGCAACTGCAAATGTAGAAAATATGAATTTCAATCTGTGAAATGGGTACTTGTATTGAATGTATTGAGTCAAAAAAAAAAAAAAAAGAAGAGAGAATTAAAGAAAGTTCTGGTTCTGAATAAGTTTAGTATTTTGTGAATGTTAATCAATATTATTGTAATGATCTATCCAGCCACAAGAGGGCACACAAGCCAGTTATTCGATCTTAACCATTTGTGCTGTAACCAGATTTGCAAAAGTTGTAGTTCCTACTAAACCAGCTCTTTCTGGTCAAATAGTTCAACTTTAATATGAGCTTTATTTTAACACAAAAACTCAGACAGAGCATGCCTACAGTTAGCATCAGTATTTTTTCCATTAAGTTTTTGTTGTAATAGCTGCTCTGGGCTTAAGGGACAGCTTAGTGTTTAAAAGCTCTGAAATAATTAGTTTTGGAATTTGTCATTTGTCATTTTTGGAGATGTATTTGCTACTTCACTCCAAGCAATAACTGGACAAGTATGTGTGAATGGGTGAGTGGTTCCTTGATGTAAAGTTTTAAGTGGCTTAAAGGTAAAAAAGCACTTTATATACATACGTACATTTTCTATTTGGCAAGACTATGGCAATACAGCAAACTCCCATTCTGGATGCGAAATTGTGCATTTTTGTGAATCTGAACATATGAAAGTGCATTTTACTCTTGTCAAATGTTAGTAACAGCTCAGAAAAGTACAAACCTGATTCTAACTAGTTGTGCTTCATTCATACATGCAGTTAATTAGAGCAAAATATAAAAGACCAGATGCCACGTTTTGAATTTGAGTGTATAAGAAGAAGGGTGTGACAGATAATAATAATTTTAAGCCAAATATTATTAGCTGTTATTTGAAGTTTAGGCATTTTTGGTATTTGGTATTGACGCTTTTTGTTTGCAGGGTTGAATATCTGGAGATTGTTACACCAGATGCCCTTCCTGTTGCGCCTAGAGTTGTCAAAAAAAGTACTCGGATAAGAACAAGAATGCAATGGTATTACCTTTTTCCACTCCTGTTTGGAATTATTGTATCTGCTAAACTGAGGGGCGTTTTACATGTATGTGTAAGGCGGAAAGTTTAGCGGTTACCATGGTGACACAATGCACACATAAGCAAACACAGCCAGAAAAGATAAGATGGTCTGAAAGATTAAGAATTAGTACTGGAAAAAAAAAAGAAAAAAACAAGACCTTTCCTGAATAGTTTCAGAATGGTTTTGACCTAACCCAGACTTGTATAAAGACCACATGATGCAATTAAAAAAACAACTCTGACCTTTGTTGAAAATCATATTATATTGTCAAAAAAAGTGTGTTTCTAAACATTATGGTATTGAAATTAGTATTAGAAACAGAATTTGAAACTTTTGTATCATCACAGCCCTAGTTGCAGCTACCTAAAGATATTGAAAGAAGCAAAGTGGGAGGAGCGCCTTGGCCAAGAGCACAAGGGCAGTACGTTGAAACAAATAAATAAAAAAGGTAAGTATGTGACACCAAAAACAGTCAAAAGTTGCATCTTTTTATGTGAATCGGTCATTTTCTGGTCAGACGACAGTATTTTTCCACGTATTTGAGCATTTATTTGGAGCAGATTTTGTACCAGAAATCCCTGAACTGCAGGCAAAGCTTTTAATCTTTCAAAGCAGAAGTAGTTTCACGACCTGATACACTGTTTTGAATCGAGATCTTTTTCCACAATTCTCCAAATCATCAAAATAAACTAGAATTCTATCAGAAGACAGTTTCTGAAGTGGTCTGTATGGAGTGTGGTGGAGGTATGACACTGATGAAGCTAAAGGCATATTTCAGGTTAATTTTCTTTTTTTAAACAAATAAATACAAAATATGTAACAATAAACTTACTCTTGTCACTCAGTGTGCTTGAATAGTTACTGCTTACTCTTAAACAGGCACGTTTCAATACATTTGAATATTGTTGGGTGGGGAAAAGATCATTTAAAGAGACCATAACTGAATAATTAACAATATAAAAACTTGTATGAATTCAATTTGTAATTATTTTAGCTTCTCTTCAGATTTTTATGTTTTGAACTAAAGGTGTACTATGGAAAGTTTTTTAATGGAGAGTCAACCACCTGCTTCTCTAAATGAAGTTGTTAAAGAGTTGTCCGAAAAGTTCCACAGTAAGACATTAAACTTATCCATCTTGTATTTATTGATGTAATAGTGTTTGAATTGCTTGAAAATCTCCAAAAATATGCATTCTTACTATAGACTGGTTTGCCTCTTCACAGATCAGATCCGTAACTTGGCCAGGTTGCATCACTTGTTCGTTTCCCTGGATATAGGTAGGTTTAATTAACCTGATTAATTAGCCGGTTTCACTTTGTAGAAACAGTCTGAACTCGCAGCATTAGAATTCGTTCACTCGATGGTAGGCGGGTACTTTTTTTAATTTAACCAGTCGCTGCTATTTAGTCGTGACATATGTAATGTGTCACTAACAGGGAAAACTGGTATATTAAGCTTTTCCCAAATCTTGTAGGAAGAAGGGCAATAACTTGATAAAATTCATTGAACATTCTCTTTGTTCCAGCTTTAAATCCTCCATCTCTGGAATTGTTGCCAGCACATAATGTATGGCTCTTCACTTGATTGGCTGGTGCCCAGACTACCACTTCCATGGTTTTTGTGAATCATCTAGTGTATTCTATTTCCTGACTTAGTCACTAGAGAGAAATTAAATTGAGAGGAGGCACTTGGTGGCGCCAGCCTGTAAAAGACTCAAGGCGTTCTTGTAAATTGGATTTTTGTCAATTCTTCTGGACCTGTTTAAATGTGTTTAAAAGCTTATCTGTAAAAATCACACTTAAATCTTTTTACCCAATCGTTCAGCTCTAATCTCCATGGAGAAAAGCAGGCAACAGATGCTCTACCTGAAAAGTTACACATTACGCCTTTAATATATTCCATACTAATTCCGATGTATCGTCACGTGCCTGTTTAATTATACTATTATATAAGCACTACGTAGACACTTAGGCTTTTTTTTCTTGGCTTATTTTTGTTCCTCATTAAAGAGCGTCCATTTTTCTGCAGTTTAAAGGTCCTGTATTACGCAAAATTGACTCTCATGAGCATTAAGACCTGTTAGAATGTTGTTACCTCATCAGAAACATACTTGGAGTTGTGTTTTGAACTCAACTTTTGCATGTTAATGGAACAAATGAAATGAATGAAACAAAACACAAATCCAGGTATGTTTGATGAGGAAACGGCATTATAACATGGATCAGAAAACGGCGTAATATGGTCCTTTTTAAAGAGTTACACGTCTGAATGCTACAGCGGAACAGCGGTGCAGTCTCTAAGAGCTCACTGATTGGTCGGCAGCAGCCCGTGTCTCTGGGCGTGCTCTAAAATGGCGTTGTAGCAGAAGTAGTACTGGTCAGGGGTCTGGATGCTGAAGGCCCTCTGTGTCCTCATCCTCTTCACCGTCTGATGCACGTTCAGAGAGCCCACGTCCTGGAGCTGAGACAGGCAGATGTCCAGAGCGCAAAACGTACCTGAAAGACAAAAAAAAAAACATACTTCAGTCATAAAGAAGGCTAGAACGCTTCGAATTGTATTTATTTTTACCAAATGGTGTGGATTGGAGTGAGACTTTGTATTTGCTTTGTATTACATGTATGTTGTCTGCTTAGATGCCACTTGTTCTGAAATGTGTAATTTGTGTTTATATATTAGTATATGTACTTTGGAATGTGCATATTATTTATTTTTTAAAAAAAGGTGCTGTACTCAATTTCAAAACGTGGAAACAATTTACAATGGTCCAAAGTTATTCCTCACTTACCTTATGTTTCAAAGCGACCTAATTATTCACCACAGTGAGTTCATGTGCCCTTTTCACAGCTCTTAGACACCAGTGCACACTTTCAAACATTGTCTTTTTAGTAAGTTTTAATAAACCACAAAGTTAAAAGGCACTGTACCTAATTTTGTACTGTGTTGAAAACAGGAAAAACAGAACTAATTCATTTTAAATAGTTTGCAGAGGTCCAAAGTTATTCCTCACTTACATTATGTATAGAGCGACCAGATAATCAAAATCAAAACTCGGACACAAAAACTGGTGGTTGGCAATAATAAAATTGTGAATCCAGTGAAGGAAAACTGTAGTACACTCGGCCCATTCACAACTAACATAATTCAGTATAGTCACATTTTCTTCGTGTTTTGGTTGTTTTTATGCAACGTTTCTGTATTTTACCTAAACAAGTGACAATTTATGCTTTTCTTTACTGTTGGCAGAGATCAGATTGGTCAAAAATGGGAACACTTGGGACATTTCTTGTATAAAACTAGGACAAATCACTGGTTTTGGATAAATCTGCTGGGACAAGGGACACAGGGCTCCATTCAGTTAGATTCCGCCCAACCTTGCAGCCCTACCAATCAGAGCAGAAGTATGTGTACACACCTGTCCTGCCGATGCCCGCGCTGCAGTGGACCACCATGGGGGGTCCGAGGGGGTGTCCGGTCCACTGCTGCCCCAGGGCCTTCACAGTCTTCTTCTGCTGCTTCTTCACGGCGTTCAGGAAGTCGATGAGCGTCACGGCCGAGGTGGGAACGCCGTAGTCGGGCCAGCTCAGGTACTGGAAGTGACTCACCTGCCTCTGCTCACAAGTCTGCACCACAGGGAGGAAAGAGGGTTTACAGGGAAATCTTAATCAGAAAAGTAGAAAAGTTACATAGTGCACCTTTGATTTACTTAAGCCAAATAGCCAAAACTTGATGTGTACGTGTACGAAAAGGTGCATTATAAGTTTATTATTACAAAGTGGGACACCAACAACCATACAGGTCTTCTTCAGGGCATTGTAAAGACATAAAAGACTGCAGGTGGCCTTAAAGAGTGGAATCATGTGACACCGGTCATGTGAGCCGACTACAAACAAAATGACACTTAAAATACTTAAAGGACTTTTATGTACCTTGACATTGTGTCTGTGATACTTCGACCTACCAGTACACAAGTTTTTGTATCTCTCCAAGCAAATCTACACATTCTTGAAAAGCACTGGACATTTTAAGTCTTATACACAACTTTTGAAGTAAATTTGAGGGGTGTAATGATATCCAAGTCTCACGATACGATATCGACACAGTATGAACCTTATGGAATGATATTTATTACAACATCGTGGGAAAGCTCACGATATGGTGGGGAGGCTCACGATTAGAGATGTAACAATATCCAAATCTCTCTGTACAATATTTTCACAATATACATCTCACGGTACGATATTTATTGGGATATTTTGTGGAGGCTAAACAACTAAAACTGTTAATATGCTACTTTTCCTCTTAAAATTCCTTGACAAGACCTAATCCAAAGAACTAAAACTTAAACGTGCTTAGAACTGTTATTTCTTCTTGTAGTCTGCATTGAAATGGAGCAAACAATCATGGTCTATGTAGTTCCCTCTGTATTTTTTTTAGCTATTGCTGCACCATAATTCTTAATTTAATAATTGTAATTTGATATACTGTGATGGTCCACGATATTATTGGGAGAACTTTGACGATACGATATCATAATATTTCGGTTATTGTTACGTCCCCAGTAAATTGTGATTAGATCAATTTTTGCCCCCTCGACACTTAGTAAGGAAGTGTCAATACAAAAAAAAAACGTCACATTCACAGGGCAAAAAATAAACCTTTCCTGAATAGCTTTTGAATGACCTTGAAAGGAGTGACAAAAAATATTGAACTCTTTCATGATACTAATCAAATACACCCACGGACCACTATGAACCTACTTGTTCGAGGGATTCTGGATATAACATGAAATGATAATATAAAAGAAAGTTCTAGAACTGAATGCTGAAAATCACATTCTGTTGTCTAAAGAAAGTGTTTATTATCATCATGGTGCTGGATTCGGTATCGACTATTGAGTCTATTCCTTAATACTGAAATAGAGTTTAAAATGTTTGTATCGTGACAACACTATGGTACAGAACAACTCAACTCAGACTGACATTGAGTCTTTAAACTCTCTTGGCAACTCACTCCAAACTCCGCCCATAACCACAACAGTAGAACACTATATAATGATATTAAAAAAACATATATGCAGTTTAGTGGTGAAAAAGTGCATTTAGGGTTTAGTTCCACTTTAAATAGATACACTCTGCCAAAGCACCTTCCAAAAGCACCTGTCCATTACTCCTGAACGGTTTTTAACTGTCTGCCAAGAGCACTCACATAATGATTTCATATTTATCATAATGGAGAGTGCCTAGTGCGTGCAGTAACAGTGACACTTAGTGGTTTAATATGAATATAAAACTATAAAGGAGAGTTCAAGATCTGACATAAAAAGTAGCTTTTGCATGAACTCCCATGCAGTTTTCTTGTCTGATACAGAGAAGCTTAATAGTTCTGAGAGCTTTCTAATTGGCAGGACATGTCAACTACAGCCCTAATACCGTATTTTCCAGACTATAAGTCGCACCAGCCAAAAAATGCGCAATGAAGAAGAAAAAAACATACGTTTACCAAACTCACAATCTCACTCCAAAGCACTAAATCCATTGAATTCTTCATCCTCACTGTCATTTCTGCGCAACCTCCGGAGGTAAACCTTAGATCCATGATGTAAAGGGAGCGCCGCTTCCTCTACTGTGTAGCTGTCCTCAGACTCAGCATCAGTTCCAGTTAGAACTATTCTGGCCTTTCTGAATCCCGACAGGATGGTTTCTGTTGTATTTGAAATTCAGGCTTTGTCGATTCATCCAGTGACTTCTAGGAAAGTTTCATGGTGCACCCACCTGGCTGCCGTGAAGCGGTGTCCTCCATCCCTGCTTTCTGCCAGTCCCTCACAAGTTTCTCACTCACTCCAAACTTTCTTTCTGCTGCTCGATTACCGTTTTTGGCTACAGGTTTCACTATTTGCAGCAAGACAGAGGCTTTTTCTACAGGAGGCATGTGCAGTAGAGTGCAAAGTGACAGTGGTACAGGAGTAATAGTAGTACTAGATACTGACACCCAAGCCTAGAACCTCTCGTGGCTGTCAGTGTGAAAATTTTAATATATATGTCGCACCGGAGTATAAGTTGCAGAAAACACCCAAACCATGAAAAAAGTGCGCTTATAGTCCGAAAAATATGGTACATGTTATTATTTTTTTTACAAAAGTGACAAGTTAATCTTTGCACTCCACTGTCTCTTAAAAGGTGCATTGTGTAACTTTTCTGGTGGAGGGTCCATCAAAATATCCATGGAGAACAGCATGTATTACTTTGTCTGGTTTCACAATATGATATTAAAACTTTCTATCATCATGGAGACAAAGTTACAGGTCAGATCTGTTTAGAGGCAATCCCAGTTTTTGGAGGTAATGTTGAGCTACAAAACCACCTGTAATTGTAAGAGCTGTTTAATGTCATACTGTGGAACATTACAGGCAAAGCAAAGACATATCCAAGAAACAAGCAAGTGACAGACCTCCAACTAAAAAGTTACATACTGCACTTTTAAGATAAATTTGTGGTCAAAGTCAAATGTATTGGGCCGTCCCTTTTTTTCTGGGTACATGAGTTGAGTTTTTAGTAGTTTTACCTCTGTGTTGTGCAGCTCCAGCGTGGTGTGGTTGTAGTGTGGGTGATGGTCCACTCTCTGGTTCACTACAGCGATGTGTCCGTAGACCTCCTGCCCTCCCTCCTCTAGAGGCCAGTACTGACCACACTTCCTCCGACTGCCCTCCTCCGTCCTACAAACAAGAAAGTACAGTTACTCTAAATGTTACTGTAAAGTTATTTCATTACAAGTACAAAACGGATGGAAGAGTTTTCAAGTGTTTGATTGATGTATTAAAGGATCAGACTAACATTTAGTCAGAAAAAAACAAAAACACAACTGATTACTGATTTAAAGACCTATATTATGGAAAATTGTCGCAGCCTAAATTTGCAGGATTTGTGTGTTAAATATGCATCAGCGAAACAAAACAACTCCAGGTGTGTTTTTGATGAAGAAACAACATTATAACAGATCGGAAAATAGAGAAACAGGAGCCCTTTATCCTATTGGTCCAGGTTTATCAGGTAGACCTACAGTTAGGAAGCTAAAGTCCCTTCCATTCAAAACAGTATGGACTGGATTTTTGCCAGGATTGAAAGGCACATTAAAGCTCCACTGCAAAAAATGTCATCCACTCATGTAAATATGTTACGAGGGCAATACATTTTTATAATTCCATTTTATTTTCTGTGGGTTTAGCTGATAAAGGCTTTTAATACTTATTGTATTGGTAAACTATTGTATTTGATAACTCTATTCTTCTGCTGTTCGGGCTGAAATAATTTCCTTTTGGAGATGACTAAAAGTGATTCTGATCCTCATCCTGAACCACAAAAATAATTATGTTTTTCAAGGTATTTTTGAGAAATAAAAACACCTGTAATTGAATAAATGCAAGATTGATACGTTTAATGCTGCAGATTCCGGCAAAGCAATAAAATATCCTAGCCAGACTGGTGCTACCTAGTGCCTCCACTCAATTTAATTTCTCTCCAGCGACCAGGTCAGGAATTGGAAGACACTAGACGGTTTGCAAGAACCCCAGAAGTTGTAGACCGCGCACTGGCCAATCAGTGAAGAGCTGAACCAACCCTAGTTGTGATAGCAGAATGCATACGCTATCCTCCTTTGGACTTCCTTTGTCAAATATAAACTTCACGTTTTTTATTGCGCCTTTGATCGTTGATAGACATGTTCACTCTCTGCTTTGTTTGCTGTTGTGCCGGCAATTACTTGGACACTACTGAGCATTACATATGTCACGAGCAAATAGCAGTGATTGGTTAAATTTAAAAAGTACCCGCCTACTGTTGAGCGAACAAATCCTAATGCTGCGAGGTCAGACTGGTTCTACAAAGTGAAACCGGCTGATGAATATGGCTAAAAATATAATAGACAGCCACTAAACACTGTTGATCAGAGTTGAGTCAAGTTTTAATATTTGTTCTAAAATAAATATAACCAAATAAAAAGTATAAAAAAATTAATAAATATAACTAAATAACTTGCCTGGTTGTCATGACGATAACCAGCACATTTTGCTCCCAGACCATTCTCCAGAAGTCTCCGTATGTCCTCTCCAGTGGCCCTTAACAGACAAGCAAAACAAACACAATGCAATTAGTTTAGGTTCAGATGGGAAGTAAAATATAACAGAGCATGGCCAGTTAATGAGACGAGGATGCTGATTTAATGAGGCAAGCATTGAATAACAAATGGTCTCACGGATGTTGTAATGTTGTACAAATAAATGACACTTGGTAGCCTAGAATACAACTACATTTACGTTCATTTTTTACTTCTATTAGGCTAAAGTCCTTACCTTGTGTACCAATGTATGCGTTTTTCTGTTTGTAGCCGTCCATGTAGCTCGCGTTAATGTAGTCGGATCTCTGCAATGAAAGATAGCCAATTACAGTTTGATTTAATACATAATGCAAATCTCTTTTTAAAAAAAATTTTTTTTATAACGAACCTCATTTCGTCGCAGTTTTAATTTGACTCTGGTCTGGTCGAGGCACAGAACGTCTCCGTAGCGATTCTTGTCCTGGTTGTACAAAGCTCTGTAGACAAGGAGGAATATGACGTTATATTTACCTTGAATAAATTTGGTCAAAACAAAGAAATCCGAAGCCTGAAGTTGCTCTGTTCTTAAGCAAGACACTTCATATACACTGCCAAATGTTGTGAGTAAGTGCTGGTCCAAGGAGTTGAATACTGCACCCAATTGAAAAGCGACTTTGAAAGCATCATTAGAGACTTACTAGGAGTAGCTTTTCATTCCCGTGTTAAAACCCTCAAATTGCTCCAACCTGGATTCACTATTAACCCAGATTTTATGATTTTGTCTTAGTGAAATTCTGAGAACCAAATGGAACGCCAAAGGGGCTTGATGTAGCTCCCAGAGCGCTTACTGATCACTGATTTTTGTGGATGAGTTTATTTCATTTCATTCACACAAATTGCACTTCCAAATTATGATACTAAAATGAGAAGATTTAAATACATTTTACTGTTGTTTGGATAACAGGTCTATGAAAACACTCCTTTCACAGTATTACAGCCAAAAGTGTATAAAGAAGTGGACTAAGGGAGTGTGACATCACCTACAGCTTTTAGCTCCAGTCAAATGAAGCTCACTGAGGCTGGCAGTTATGAGGCAAATATGGAGCAGAGTTCCATAATAGGAAAAGAAATTTATTTACAAGGAAAATAGCAAAATAAAAACAACAAAATCATGTAGAGCGGGTTAATACAAATATTTTTTGGACATAGGGCCTCATTTCCTAGTGAGCTAGGAGACGTGTGGAGACATTTTTTTCAACTATTCCATCCAGTCCTTGTATTTGCAGAGGTCACTGGTGCTAGGCTAGTGCATGTCAATGGCCATAGTTAGCCTGCCACTAAAAACAGTCTTACCCACTCCACAAAACACCCAAAGTAAATCTGTTATTACACCAGACTGTCGATGTGAATGTCTGTGTTAATAGAATACATTTTAGAAGTAAAACCAACCTTGCATTTGAAGGATTTATGTCTGAGCAGCAGCAGCGAGTTGTACTTCCTGATAGAAAGCTTGGCAGCGGCGGACTGATATATGAGAAAATAGTCCCTCAACATGCGACGATTCATGAGATGCAAGGTTAGTTCTATTTCAAACATTATTCTATCAACAGACATTTACATCGACAGTCTGATGTAATAATAGACTTACTTCGGGGTTTTGTGGAGTGGGTAAGAATTTTTTAGGAGCAGGATAACTATGGCCATTGACATGCACTAGCCTAGCACCAGCGACCTCTGCAAATACAAGGACTGGATAGAATATTTAAAAAAGTGTCTCCACACGTCTCCAACACGCTGGCTCACTTGGAAATGAGGTCCTATGTCCAAAATTCCAGACTGTCCCTTTAAGACCAAAATGAGGAGCCTGACAGCATCAGTTATGTAGAAAGGGGGCGATATTTTTTCAGTACAAGGTGAAATGGAGCCACAAGTGATGGAGCCAGAAGCGTCCTATTTGCAACACAGCGGCTAGGGGGGTTTCCTATGTCCATTTATATATACAGTCAATGATTCTAGCTTACTCCATATTACTGTATTGGGCTAATCTAATCACATCATGTATTAAACTATTATTACTGACTGTGAGTGGTGGAAGGTCCCTGGTGGTGGCTCTTTCCTTAGCTCCTCGTACTCCTGATGGATCCCTGAGCGCTGCAGCCGGCCCAGGTGAGCCATCAGCTCCTGGGGCCTCATGGACTCGGGCCCCGGCACGTGCACCGACCCTTCCTCCACTGGGATGCACACCAGCTCGTCCACGGGGTCCACCCTCCCGTTCTGACCGGACAGGAGCTGCTGGTTCATGGTGTGGGCGTCAAGAGGTAACAGCCCCCCGAGGTGCTGGGGCAGGCAGTCTCTGGGCAGGTGTTGTTTGAGCTCGGCAGTTTAACCATCTGAACCTGGAGAATGGACAGACATTATGTCAGGGGAGTACGGAAGAGCAGCGGTGAAAGAAGTACTCAGTTTGTTAAGTAAAAGTACAGATAATGGAGTAAAAAAAATTGCATTATACAAAAATCTACTTAAAGGTTCATTGTGTAACATTGTGAAGGGTCTGTCACCTGCTTGTTTCTATGGAGATATCATTGCTCTGTCTAGAATGTTCCACAGTATGACATTAAACACCTCTACCTTGCATTTACTCAATTACAGGTGGTTTTATAGCTCAAAAATACCTAGAAAAACAGACAATCTGAATGTGAGCAGGGTTGCCACTCCCCAGATCTGACCTGTAACTTGGTCTCGTTCGGTCTCCATGAAGGTAGAATGATTTAATGCCATACTACGAAACATTCTAGACAATGCAATAACATCTACATAGAGAAAAGCACTTGACCAGAAAAGTTACACAATGTAAGTACAAATACCAGACCAAATAAATACTCAAGTAAAAGTATCACAAGAAAAAAATTACTTAAAATTACTTAAAAGTGTTAAAGTATGTGTTTAAAAATGTACTTTATGATTAAAAAGTAAAAATATTTCATGGAGATTTTGAGATTTAAAAGCTTCAAATGTACTGATTTTGATTTAAAAAAATATATTTTGCTGAATTTTGTTCAACGGAAAAAATGGCATCAATGTTTATTTCAACACTGTTTGCTAATGTGTGCGTTGTGTCACCATGGTAACTCCTAACCATTCCACCATGACATCACAGCAGTGGAAAGTATCAATAAGACAGGATATGTTTTTGTTTGCGGAGGAAATTATGGTACAAAAAACTGTAGCCTTTGCCATTTTGATTTGAAATTTTAGTACAGAGAATAACACAACATAACCTTTAAACTGTAGGACATAAATATTGACCCCAAAAGTCGTTCTAGCTTTAACTTATTGAACGATGAAACAAAATTGTAATTATTATGACAGGCCTATCTACCCATCTAACAGCCTGTAGTATCAGAATAAATTTGAGAGAATGCAAACACCAGTAGTTTACTTTAAAAATTCTCCATTGGTTTAACAGTAGCATTTTTTTTAGGAAATAAAAAGTCACACTCCAAGAAACAGATAAATATATAATTCAAACGAGGCCTGTGTGAGTGAGTACTTTACCCTCTCCCTGAGTTTCTCCTTGAGCAGCAGACTGAGCAGATTATAGGGCACCCTGAACCACACCGGAGCCCCCACTATCAGCACCTTCTTCAGCCTGGCAGGGAACGCCCCCTAGAGGAGACAACGCAAACACAGATCACATTTATGTTACCATTTCTGAAATTTGCTCATTTGTTAAAAATAGCTACAGAATATATTACTGTTAATGACTATTTCAGATGGAAGAAGGATATAAAGATAAGATATTTTAGAGTTTTCATAAACTTACTATCCATGGTTTTAGACTGATGAAAATCTAACACTGTTTCCATAGCAGTTAACAAATAAAAAACAAAATTGTGTATCTTTTGAATGTTTTGAAGTGATTTAAGTCTGGCACCACTGCCATGGCAATTAACATTAAACAAAATATTAGGCTATATCTTTCAAATCAGGCGTGGGCAAGTATTTTTTCCATGAGGCCACATAAGAAACAGAAAATACTGTGGGAGGCCGGGCCAAAATGCTTAACTCAATTCTGCATAATATTAATTATATTTCTTAATAAAAAGCAGTAAATAGCAGTGTTCTGACAAACTGGTCAGACTGGTAAAAGTTTATGTTATGACTAAGCAATGAAAAAGTGATGTTGCCTTACAAAACATGTCATTTAAAAAAAAAAAAACAACAACTCTAAAATAAAAGCAATGTAGCTTTAGTCCATGCATGAGGTAAAAAATCTTAATTTTATAATTCCAAATGATCTTAAATGGGCCGGTCCAAGTCAACCAAAGAGCCACATGAGGCTGGGTCTGGACAATTGCCCGCAGGTCTGTTTTAAACTCACCTTTAATAAGTTGAGTATTTTCTTGCTGAGGTCCAGCTCAAAGTTTGTGTAGTTGGATCCTGCCATGTCATAAATGAACACCAGGCCATTCCTCTGGGTTTCAAAACTGAAACAAAAAATGTATTTAATTAAAAATTGCACATTGTAAACAAGTTCAGGAGCATTAATATTTGAGACAAGGCATATGAACTGCCAGCAAGTGGCATGAGGGGCTTTGAACCCAACTAAATATGCTGTTTGGTTATGCACATTAACCTGGAACATTCTTTATGAAATCCAATTTCTAAACTTATAAATGATTAATTTTAATTTGGGGGATATTGGAATAAGAGTTTTCATTCATAAAATGTTTTAAAATGCTTCAAGTTAGAAAGTTTACATTACAACATTACAACATAATCTGATTAATTATTTTTATCATTTAAACAGCACTCATTAGAACATAAATTGTAAATATAATTGCAATAGTAATGCTTTTTGGATTATTAACAATTACAATATTTTCCCAAATCCCGCAGCCCTGTAGTAGTGACATATGTGGTTACCTTTCCACGGCTCGGTCCAGGAGGTAGAACAGAGCCTGGAGGACTACATGGTTTCCCGTTTTATTCGGATGGTGGAGTTTAGCCGTGTATAATGCAATGGACGCTCCTGACGGATCCCGAGCATTCTGCAACAGATGAAAGAACATCATTTATAATCTGATCATATATAGTTAAGTGGCAGTTTGTGGAAAAAGTTAAGAAAACTACAAAAATAAAGTTCTTAAGCAAAATACCTTTAACTCTAATTTCATATCTACTGCGTGTGCCCAACAAGGAAGTAAAATGATTAACTTCACCAAAATGAAAAATGTACCACAACTAGGCAATATTTCTTTAGTAAAATCTTTAATATAATGATGTGAACTTTAATGAAATGGGTAGTCGAACCTGCCATATGCACTTTGACCATACAATCATCAGAGCAGTGAATCGATAGAAATTGATTTCCACTTATATACAGTGTGATACAGGCTCCATTATGGATATTCACATTTGTTAACAGGGTCTAAATAAATGTGGCACTATTTGAATGTCTTGAATCTCAGCTTGCTCTAAATGAAATATTATAATTGGCAATAAATCAAAATGTAGTATAACAGTGACCACAGGAGGGCACTCAAGATCATGTGTATTTTTCGTATTGGCACTGCTCCAGACGGGCTGAGTGGCTGTCAGGGGTGATACTGCCTCCTATGATAACTCTCCTGAAGGATCAATAAAGGCTCTGAACCTGATTATTAAGCTGAAAACATGAAGAAGAAAAAAAAGTTAATTTTAAATTGTTTGCTGCAGTTTTAACCTTTCTGTGTGGAGTTTATACATTCTCCCTGTGCCTGGGTAGATGTCCTCTGGGTGCTCTGGTTTACACTACCACAAAAAAAAAAAGGCCCCACCTCTCAGCAGGACTACCTTGTTAAATAAAGACCAATAATAAAGAATAATAATGATAAAAATGAACAACTACTGTACTTCTGTTAAAGGGGCAGTCTGGAATTTTGGACATAGGACCTCATCTCCTAGTGAGCCAGAGTGTTGGAGACGTGTGGAGACACATTTTGAAATATTCCATCCAGTCCTTGTATTTGCAGCGGTCGCTGGTGCTAGGCTAGTGCATGTCAATGGCCATAGTTAGCCTGCCATTAAAAAAAGTCTTACCCACTCCACAAAACACCCGAAGGAAATCTATTATTACACCAGACAGAATAATGTTTGAAATAAAACTAACCTTGCATCTCATGAATCGCGGCATGTTGAGGGACTATTTTTATCATATATCAGTCCGCCGCTGCCAACCTTTCTATCAGGAAGTACAACTCGCTGCTGCTGCTCAGACATAAATCCTTCAAATACAAGGTTAGTTTTACTTCTAAAATGATTCTATCAACACAGACATTTACCTCAACAGTCTGGTGTAATAATAGATTTGCTTTGGGTGTTTTGTGGCGTGGGTAAGACTATTTTTATTGGCAGGATAACTATGGCCATTGACATGCACTAGCCCAGCACCAGTGACCTCTGCAAATACAAGGACTGGATGGAATATTTCAAAAAGTGTCTCCACATGTCTCCAACACTCTGGCTCACTAGGAAATGAGGTCCTATGTCCAAAATTCCGGACTGTCTCTTTAAGCCTTTAATTCAGAAGTATACAAAGGTTTTCATCCAAGGCCACATATGGAAATGTATACAGAGCACAGACTGCAGAACAATGAAATGAATCACCCAAAAATTCCAACTTTTTCCACCACAGCTGTAATGAGTCATCAGACATTTATGTTATGTCTGTATCACATCAAAATGTAAGTAAGCATTGAAGAATTTACCTAACATTTGCAGTAAAAAGGACTACTTTTGGTCATTTGGGCCAATTCAGCAGGACGCCTGAGGGCCAACAACAACTATTCTGAGATTTAGTAAATACTTCTTAAAATCTGCCATCATTTCTTCTTATTTCCATCAAACTCGCTGATACACTGCTCCCTACAAGACTCATAAAACCCCCTCCTGGTGAGTGATGGTACTGCGTCTACTCCAATTCAGTTCATTTGACAGAATTTAGACGTAAAACTGAACCAGGGGACGTCATGAGGACCAAAGCAGAATGCACCGAGTCTTCCAAACCAATAAAAATATGAAGCCTCCCTGACTCTGAGGGCTAAAAATACTCAGACAGGAAGTGAGCGGAGACGTCAGAGCAGAGGATGTGCAGAGCCGGAGCACGTCAGCGGAGAGCGAGCACAGGGGAGGAGGAAGGGGGGGCGATGACATAGGAATTTTAACCGTGTCAGGGGATTATTGATATTTTGCAGCTGATGCCGTCAACATTCCCTGGGGTGATGCTAACTGGAGGCACTACTCAGTCTGAAGCTCTATTAGACTTTAATCTGAGCTTTAACACAATCTGACCAGAAAGTTGATTTAGGATCTACAACAAGTGAGATTGTTAAACAAGTTTCTCACACCTCCTCTACGGTGGAATTCGCCTTTTAACTGTCAGATTGCAGATTTGTTGACCTGGTTTATGGTTCATATCTCTATAATTACTGGGCCTGCCAAATGAAACAAAAACTGGCAAAAAGTCCAATGCCTTCTCTGTCAGTATAAATAAACAAAAGCGTAATCTTTCTTTTACAGTAGCTTCAGAAAGTGGTGCCATTCTTCAATCCCAATGACGCGATTGTCATCAGTTGAAAGGACATAACATTAAAATGGCAAGTTTGTGGAGCCAGTTCACAACAAATACTGACAAGTAAGCTGTATTAAGGCTGAAAAAAGACACAGTGCAGCTTTATTCATATTAGTTATATCCTTGAGGCCATGGATTGTTTTGAGAACCCAAAGAGCAAACCTATGAAAATGTTACTGCTTGTAATGCGCCGGAGTACTCTAAAAATACTTAATGTGGCGTCCCCTGCTGGAGATAGTCAAGCTTTATGCCAAATTGTGGAATAGTTCAGTCAAAACAACATCTCTAGGGAAAATAAAATGTTTTAGACCCTCGACCTTCACCAAACTTATACCACAGCAGCTTTGTGAACTGAATTGTAATATTCATTTTCGCTGATGAGAAATCGAATATAACTTCACTTGAATCGTTTCAGTAGAATATAAAAACATTAAAATATAGAGGCCATGTTTCCTCACCAGCACAGTGAACTTCCCGCTGAGCAGCTCGGACCTCAGCGGCTCCTCGTGGGGCTGCAGTCGTACGATTCCTTCTTTGAGTCGTGTTTCCTGGAACAGAGCAGGAGAATCAGGACAAACCTGGACCAATGGAAAATCATTTACCTCAACAAAACACCCACACACACACACACACACACACACACACACAAAAGTAGGGATGGGCAATACAGATATTTTTAGCCGATATCTGATATTTGGCCTGCTGCTGTGCCCGATACCGATATTTAGCTTTTAAAGTCCATAGCAAATTGATCTGAAGTTGAAGTACAGATCACAAATACAATTTTCCTGTTTATAAAATAAATACCATTTAGTTATGGAAACACAAGAGAATCGAGCTTTGCAAAAATATCGGTATAGAATATCGTTATTGGCCAATACCATCATAGACCAAAAAATGTATCAATATGGTTCGATGCCGATACTGAAACTGATATATCACCTATCCCTACACAAAAACATCACTTCTGTCATCACTTCTGTAAAATTACACAAAATTACACAAGTTAGGCAATGTAGTCATGTTTTGTTTTGTTTTTTTGCAACCCTACTTCATTGTGCCTGTAAAAGTCTTGGAGTTAAAGTTCTACTATCACACAAAACATGAATGAACCATAAAATGAACCACACATGGGCAGAAATATCACTTTATATCCTTGTTTGTTGTTTGATTACCCTAAACCTTTTCAGTTTTAAGTCATTTATAATAACCTTTAATAATAGACAATACACTTTATATTATAATTTCGCATATCTCAAAATCAGCAATTGAGATATTCTACATTTTTCAGTATACATTATTACAAAGCGATAACATCTCCATGGATATAAGCAGGTGGCAGAAAAGTTACACCTTTAACAATCATCAAGAGGTTTTCTTGACCCAGAAAGAGGAGCTAGGTGTTTAACTTGATCCACTTCTTTTACAAAAATATTCAAAACTTTAAAAGGTGCTGCATTATCCAAAACTGACTCTTGTGAGCTTTAAAACATGTTATAATGTTGTTACCTTGTGTTTTGTCCCATTCACATGCTTGTGTAATACTGGATTATTAGGCTGTCTATATCTCCCAAACACAAAATGACCAGTTCCACCTTGTGATGTCATTTAGTAATTTAATTTAACATATTTACATATTAGTATATTATCAGTTTGAAATTTTTTTTATAGTTAATTTCACCTTTTGTACAGTTGATATTGTAATTGCTGTAATTTCAAAGTTAGGCAAATCCGAGGTTGGCCGCTTAATGACATCACAAGGAGGAACAGAGTATTTTCAGTTTGAGAAAAGAACACAGGATGAATATGCGGTATTTGTGCGTTACACATGTGTGAATGAAACAGAAAACCACAACTCCAGGTCTGTTTGCGACGAGGAAACGACATTATAGCATAGATCAGAAAAGACATCTGTACTTCAGCAAATGTACTGTACAGCAGTTACCAGGAGCTTGCATTACATAAGCAACATAAGCGTAACTCTTAACCATTAGACCAGAGTTAGCCAATATGTGCAGTTTATGACGCAAAAGTGACTCCTCAGAATTTGACCGCTGAAATAAACAGACGTTTCTGTTCCCCTTTGAAATGGTACCCACAGCACTACATTACCCATTTTCACTTCTGCTTTACAGTGAGTGTCAAAATTCTTCAGATATTAAGTACATGCCCAGGTTAAATGACTACCCATGAGTAGATGTGACTAAATCATTGGAATTACATAAAAAATATATATATATATTCTTGCTTAATAAATGATAAGGTTTATAGAAGCATATATGTGCAATGTGCATATATTTCAAAACACCAAACCTGAATGTATATATTTTAAAAAGGTACACTAAAAAGCATTGGAAATCAGATATTAATGGATGCGAAAATGAGTATCTAGTTTCAATGCAAAAAAGTCACATTGGCAGGACAGAAATGAACCTTTAGAATGATCTTGAGCTGTATCAGAACAAATATAAGAGCACACAGACTAGTATATACGCCCATGGACCACTATGGAACCAACCTGGACCACTGAGAGATTACACACATATAACACCACATGGGAATAGAAAAGAAAGTACTATGATTTAATGTTGAAAATCATATTCTTTTGTCTAAATGAAGAGTGTTTTTTATTATCATTGTGGTATCCAAGTTGATATTGAGTCCACTCCTTAGAATTGAAATCAAGTTTAAAATGTTTAAAATGATTCTTGTCACGATCCTAACGTTTTAAATCAAGCTTTTCTGTGGTTGGCCCCACACTTTGGAACGCTCTCCCCCCTCACATTAAAACCATCCCTTCATTCAATTGTTTTAAAGGGCCTGTTTACACGAGAACGCTTGCGGGTAAAAACGTCAAAATATTTAATCGGAAGTGCCTTTCGTTTAGACATTGATGGCGTTTTTGGGGCTTAAAAACACAAAAATCTGAAACCACCCTCCGGAGTGGAAAAGCTGAATACGCTCCACCGTAGCATTTCCGTCTACACTGCCCAAGACGCAAAACTCTGTTCAGATCTGCTCACGTCGTGTACGCATTTACATCACATACATCACCATCTAGCTGCCTGGCATGCATACACAATCAAATTCCACACACTTTTGCGTCCGTATACACGCAGATTTCATCCCGAAAACGCTTGTCTAAAAGCGGAATGAAAAGTGACGAGACGCCACTTTTGCATCTTCTGTTCAGACAGTCAACATATAAACGTAGCCTTCTTTAAAACCACACTTTTACTCACTGGCTTTTAACACGGCGTGAGAATTGTATGCTCCTCTGACTGTTTTTTAAAATTGTTTTTATTTGCTATTTTTCTATTTGCTAATTTTAGTATTTTTATATTTTTTATTGACTTGCTTCTTTATTCATTTTATGCTTCATTTTATTTATTCTCTTGATTTATATAGCGCCTACTCTGTGCAGCACTTTGAAGACTTTGTGTTGGTAAAATGTGCAATACAAATAAAGTTGGATTAGAATGAAATGGATCAATATTATAATTAAACTGCCCATATTATGCAAAAACACACCTGGAGTTGTGTTTTGTTTCATTCACACACAAATTTAGCACACACAAATTTAGCACACACAAATTTAGCACACAAACTCTGCATATTTAGGCTGAGGAGTTGCTACCACTAAATGACATCACAAGGTGGAACAGAGCATTTTGAGCTTTGGGTACACACACAGACTAATAATAATGGATTATTCAAATGTGTGAATGAAATGAAACACAACTCTGAGTATGTTTTTGAGGAGGCAACAGCATTTATAAAGCTCACAAGAGTCAATTATGCGGAATACAGGACCTTTTTGAGGGGAAAACATAATTTTGGGCCACTGCAAATCATTTTGAATCAGTTTTTCACATTTTTCACAGTAAAAATGAGCAAAAAAATATCTGCTGTGCATCCTTGTTTTTCAAAAAACTAAATTATAGGTTTCATGATGACACACATTTCAATATACTGTATATCTTTTTTATCTTTCCAGGAACAAGGATATCGAATCATTGCGTGGATGCCAAAAACTAGGTCATTAACAAAGGAAGTCCTGCCTTATGGTTTTAATTAGCTTCATGTTTCTTTAGTTGTTTAAATAATTAAGGTCAGCATCTGGTATTCACATAGACTGTACATGCACAGAGCCATGCCATAGATCCTTATGTCTGAAGGGTACAACATGTTTTAGTTTCACATGTATCCGGTGTGGTCACGATATGAACATTTCAAACATAATTTCGATACTAAGGAATTGACTCAATACGCAATACAGATTCTGATACCATACTATAATATAACACTCTTTCTTTAGATAATAGAATGTGATTTTCAGCATTAAATCATACTACTTATTTTTCTATGTTGTCTTATATATGTGTAGTCACTCAGTGGTCCAGGTCGGTTCCATAGTGGTCCATGGGTGTATACTAGACTATGTGTTCTTATACTTGTTCTGATACAGCTCATGATCATTCTAAAACTACAAGGTTCATTTCTGTCCTGTCAGTGTGACTTTTTAGTATCACTTCTTGCTCAAATGAGTATCTAATTTCAACACTACTGGTCGTTTTTGTATAGGTAAGGATCTAATTTTTGATACTTTTGACATCCCTACATGTCCATTGATCCATCCTTTTTTTTTTTCTGCTTATCTGGGTCTGGGTTGTGAGGGCAGCAGTTTAAGCAGGGTCTCCCTGACATTTCACCCAAACACTTCCTCCAGCTCCTTCGAGGGGACCCCAAGGCATTCCCAGGCCAGCCCAGAGACATTGTCCCTCCACTGTGTCCTGGGCCTTCCCCGGTGCCTCCTCCTGGTGGGACCTGAACAGCTCCCCAGGGAGGTGTCCAGGAGGCATCAGGAACAGATGCCCTCCCAACAGCTGCTCCTCTCCACGTGAAGGAGCAGTGACTCTACTCCGAGCTTCTTCAGTGCAAATATGCTCCTCACCCTGTCACTAACGGAACGCCCAGCTACTCTGCAGAGGAAACTCATTTCGAGCACTTGTACTGTAATTGCTCTTAATACAACCCCACTGTCCCAAAACAAGAAGTGACAAACAGGAAGAAACCACAACGTCCAGAACACACGGATCAGGTTTAACAAAGAAATATTACCCATTCAAATGCATTAGGAGCTACAGATTAGATTAGGAGAAGGACACGATTACTAATGTATTCTTACGGGTTTAGGAGCACATGTCTCATACTGTCACAATACCATTTCAAACTCTATTTTGATACCAAGAAGTCAATACTTCATACTTATTTATTTTCCGCAATAATAAAAACACTTTAGACAATAGAATGTAATTTTCTATATAACTAGAAAAAAAAAACTTGACCATTCTAATGCTGTTCAGAAAATGTCAAATTTTGTCCTGTTGGTGGGTACAAGTTTTAGTATCTCTTTAAATATTTACTTTGGTTTAACAAATTGACACTAATAGAATAGAGAATGGCCATATATTACACAACATTTACTCTTATGAGTTTTAAGATATGTTCAGCTCATCAAACACATACCCAGAGTTGTGTTTTGTATCATTCACACATGTTTGAATAATCCTTATCTCGCTCCCTCTGTCTGAAGCTACAAAACTCAAAGTGCTCTGTTTGACCTTGTGATGTCATGTAGTGATAGTTTTCAAGTCAACTTTTGTTCATTTCAGTAGAGATTAGTGAATCCAGGACTGAAATTATTCAATCGATTCGAAGTGAATTCGTATGGAGCACTTCCTGTATTACTGCCTGACATCACAAGGTGGAACAAAGTGTTTCCCATTTTTAAGGAAGAACTTAAACTTAAATATACAGATTGTGTGTTAAACATGTATGACTGAAACAAACCACAACTTCAGGTATGTATGTGAAGAGGAAACAACAACAGATCAGAAAACAGTCCCCGGTCTGGTCCCCGGTCTGGTCCCCGGTCTGGTCCCCGGTCTGGTCCCCGGTCTGGTCCCCGGTCTGGTTCCCGGTCTGGTCCCCGGTCTGGTCCCCGGTCTGGTCCCCGGTCTGGTCCCCGGTCTACTACTCATTATTACTCACCCTGTAGCTGTGGAAGAGTTCGATGGCTCGGAGCACGTCAAACTTTCGGGCCATGAGAAACTTGACAGCCAGGTCCTTGGACAGAGGGGACACCCCATGCTGACTGGTCCATTTGTTGATCTCCTCCAGAAACTGCCTCGTTGCCTGAACACAAACACAAGAGTTTTTGATTCATCTGAACTGCTTTCATTTCACCCATAGATTATGATGTTAGAATTGACACATTTTAAATCACAAATAAAACTGTGGTGCCTAATAGGAGCTGACGTCACCGTAACCCCCGGTGTACGCTGACTGCAGGTACGCTGCAGTGGGCTGTGGGCAGAGGGTGGAAACTGTGCTCCCGAGACAACATATTTACAGGAGCTCACATGATAGATTAGCATGTATAGGAAGCCTTGTTGGTAAACAACAGCGACATTTCACCATATGACCACTTTCTGCCTTTGGATACCATTTTCTCATGCTTTTGGATACCTTGGCTACAATGGGGAAGTACATTTGTGAAGTACTAGGAGTGTGCAGGAATATTTTATTCTGAAAATATTCCTGGTCTGTCAGTTTTGTGCGTCTGATTTCCTGTTTTGCTCATGTGATTTTGTCAGCTTGACGTCAGAGACCGCTGCAGTGTCCGGCAAAAATAAACTTCTTGCAGATTCTTTCCGCAGGCCCACGCCCCACCTACATCTCACCGAGGTCAGTGTGGCAGGGTGCTACTGATTCTTGCAGGAATCACGCGTGTCCCAAACCACACTGCACCTACAGCCATTTACATGGGTTGTAAATGTCATCACAATAAAGAGTCAGCAACTCCTACGGATAAATTTCAGATCCTTACATTTATGTATGACATCAGCTCTCACTGGGCACCGCAGTTTTCTAAGGTGATTTTAGTTTTCTTATTCAAAACAAACACATGTGGCTTTCAGTTTTTATTTCATAATGAATATAAATAACAAGACGGGAGTTCATTTTCTTCCTCCAAAGTCTGAGCTCCAACCCTCATGCTTTTACTGACACAGGTCTGGCTGTAGCTCTGCATTAAAGAGACCCAAGCTGATCATTGACCATTTGAAATAATAAAATGTGATTCATTGCACAGCCCTATAAATCATTTCCTAACAAAATAAATAGAACATAAAAGAAATGGATCTCTGCAATTTAACTCATGCTTTGATATTCATCTTAACAAGTTTCATCTTATCCAAAGACCAATCCTCCATCTGCCACAAAATTGGTTACGGATTTGTTGATTTAAAAGCCAGATACATGAATGTAATATGTGATCCATTCCATTTCAAACACACTGCAACAGGATACAATCATAATTAAAACATAAAAAAATGAAATGATAAGAGTCCTGGTTATATTTTTCTCTTACATAAAGTCACTGAGGAATAAGGACAGGGCAAATGTACTCAAAATAATATCGCAATGACCAGATTCTCAGTAAACGGAGTTGCATAACAGTAAAGGACAGCTTGTAATAGCATGTCATTCCCATGTATTTAGCAACAGTTCTCAGGAATACTAAAACCTTTCCAAGCATAATTTCGTTTTATCATTAGTATTCCTTATCATATTTCTAAAACTCGATTAGTTCAGTGATGCAGCGGCCTGTGGATGTTTACATAATGAAATTCATGGGAAATGCGGCAGTGAACGCAGAAAAAAAGTCCAGGAAAGAAAGAATGAAAAGGTGACACTGCTGTTTAAGACCCAGGGCTTCTACAAGTGTTAAACATTAGCTTATAGTGAGATCATTTGCTTTTCTCACACTAGGGAAATGGATTAAAACTGCGATCTGAATGGACACAATCAGCAAATCACAAGGGCTGCAATTTTAAAGTACAATCATTTCATCAACAACAAAATATCCAGTCTTATCCTGCATGAAAACTGCTAACCGTGTACAAACATGTTCTGAAATGTGATTCTTGTTCTTGTTTGTCAGTTCAGATTTCAGTCTTCATGTCAATTCTTCTGCACGTGTTTAAAATGTGAACTCTGGATGGAATCCTATTATTAAATCATAACTTGTAAATCTTATTGAGACAGATGGACCAATCACATCGCAAACCAATCACATCGCAGTATTGATGTTTGTGCAGAAGCCAAAGGTGAAGCTCCCAAACAAACATTGCGACGCCCAAAGACGTACTTCAACCTATTTCAATACCTATTTCTTTTTCAATACAACAAGACTATTTAGGTTGTGAAAAACACGTAGAAGGTAAGAGCATGCGTGGACAAGGAAGATGTCTGTGCTTTTTTCTCAACTGGACGAAACAAAAGGTTGATTTTTTGGCTTGTTCTGCTGTGGTTGACATGGTCGTCATTACGCTCCATGTTTTCCGATCTCTTTCAGTGAGAGCTGTTCTTGACTGATAATGTGTAGAACTCACTTCAGTGACACACAGATTAATCTGGAGGTTAGTTTCACCCAAATTCTATTTCACTAAAACTTGTAGTTAACATAATGTTTAAGGTTTTACATTTGACCCTCCGCTTTCCTGGTGGAGAGTCCTTCAAATGCTTTTCTTCATGAAGATATGACTGCTTTGTCGAGATTGTTCTACAGCAGGGATGGGCAATTATTTTTTCCATGGGGCCACATGAGAGACAGAAAATATTGAACAGGGCCGGGCCAAAGTGCTTAACTAAAACACTGCAATATGAATTATATTTATTTATGAAAAAGCTGTAAATATCATTGTTTTGACGAGCTGGTAAGACTGGTTAGCGTTTATGTTATGACTAAGCAATGAAAGTGAGGTTGCCTTACAGAAAATGTCATTAAAAACACCTCCAAAATAAAAGCAATGCACCTTTAGTCCATGCATGAGGTAAAATTATAAAATATGTGTATTTTCGAATTCCAAATGAGCTTAAAGGGATAGTTCGGATTTTTTGACATAAATCTGTATGGCCTCCCCGTCATCAGTGTTGTGCATTCCACACCGACTTACCCCCGAAAGCGTCCGGTGAGCCGAGATACTGGCCCGTTTTGGTGCTGAGGAAAGTAGTTCAGCAAGTTGTGTGGGGACTGTATACTAAAGCGTTTTTCTTCTCAAAGCAATATGTGTTCAAAAGAGTGATACATTTGCATCACAAAACCATCGTCGCCAAAAAAGTCAGATCTCATAATCGCTTGGCGTTATTTTCTCTCCGTACGTACCACTGCGCGCGGCCGCCAGGTGACGGCCGCGCACCGATCCATCACTTTCTTCAGTTGTTCGGGAGTGTTTACATGCGCAGACCGCCGCCACGCGAGAGAGCTAACGAGAGAGCTAGAGCCATAAGTATATAAGACTGGTTCACTTTGTTTACTGCTCGGAATGTTAGCGACAACATGTCTGATTATGACACTGACAATAAAGACTTTGCCTTTACCACAAACCCAAGGGGAGATCTTTGTGAACCCGAATATACTGATGCCGAATTTCACTGATGAGGGGGATGCCATACAGATTTATGTCAAAAAATCCGAACTATCCCTTTAAACGAGCCAATAAGACTCAACCAAAGGGCCCTATGTGGACCAGGAGCTGGACAATGCCTGACAATGTACAGTATGCTATTAACCCTTTCTATCTTCATGGAGAGCAAACCAGACCAAGTTCCAGGTCAGATCTGTGGAGAAGCGATCCCACTCACAGTCAGAATGCCTGTTTTTTGAGGTATCTTGAAGCTATAAAACTCATAGTTTGACAATGTTGTGAAGTTTATCATTTTACTTCCTGCTTTGACACGGGCAGCAGATGTGACACACATGGAGGTAATTCCATTATCGTTACCTAGCAACAAAATGGAAACAAGGGCCAAAACCTGACAAATGCAGTTATGATTTGTTGTATCAACCAAGGACAGAAGTTGAGAATTAGAATTAAACTAGAATTTGGTGTACTGATGACAGCGATTCCATGTTACAACAACTCTTTTTTGCCAACATTGCTTCACAAACTGCAAATGACAAAACTATGCTGCATCTCACCAAATGAAGTCATAATAAAAAAAAAAAACTAAATTGTCATATGCACTTTTAGTTACAAAATGCAATCCACAGTCCACCCATCAGACTATTACACAATTTAGAACAATACAGCAGACCCCCCCACCCTCTCTCCTCCCTCCCCTCTGCCGGAGCTTGTTCCAGTGTTTTTCCTGGAAGTCGGAGCTGGAGTTGCGCCCGTGTCCTTGACCTGCGGATCTGGGCCTCAGTCATCGTTCCCAACACCCAGTTCTTCTCCCAACTTTTCAGGAATGCGCTGGATGACTTCAGATGTCAACACGAGCTGTGAACGAGCGCAAGTTGGACTGAAAAATGTGCCAAACGCAACAATCGTCCCCAGAGTCCAGATAAAAATAAGGAGCTTAAAATACCAGCGCCAGGACTTGGAAGTTCAGACCTACAAACTTGAGTTACTCTGAAACTTACTCTGATGAAGGTGATGAGGGGACACTGTTACAAGATGGTTAAAAGCTTAAAAGTGCATTGTGTAACTTTTCTGGTGGAGGGTCTGTCAAATGCTTTTCTCCATGGAGATGTTATTGCTTTGTTTAGATGTTCTACAGTATGGTATTAACCCTTTCTATCTTCATGGAGACCAAACCAGATGAAGTTACAGGTCAGATCTGTGGAAAGGCAACCACGCTCAGTCAGAATGTCAGTTTCCTAGGTATTTTTGAGCTATAAAACCACTTGTAATTGAATAAATGTAAAGTAGAGCTGTTTAATGTCACACTGTGGAACATTCCAGGCAGAGCAATGACATGTCCATAGAAACAAGAAGGTGACAGACCCCAACCAAAAAGTTGCATAGTGTACCTTTCCAAAAGAAAAAAAAAAAAAAAAAAAAGAACAGTGTCAAATTCCAAATAAGGATTAGAGCAAAATCTGTATGTCCATATATCAATTCTTTTGTGCAATATTAGTATTACACACAATGACTCTTATGCACATTAAGACATGTTTTAATGTTACTAGGGATGTAACAATAACCAAAATATTGTGATATCGTATCGTCACAAGTCTCACAATAATATCGTGGGCCGTCACAATATATCAAATCACAATTTCCTTTATTTAAATGCATGGTTTTACAGTAGCAACAGCTTATAAACATAGGGAACTACATATCCCA